AATACCTTTATTTTACTTATTTACTTTTATGTGGTGCTGAGGATCGAACCCAGCGCCTCACACGTGCTAGGGGAGCGCTGTACCGCTGAGCCACAACCCCAGCCCCTGAGATCAGCTTTTTTATTCCCATTTTCCAGACGAGAGAAATGAAATCCAGTTAGTGGCCGTGCTGAGGATGGACCGGGAACGACTCCAAAGCTCTCCACACCACGAAAGGCGAAGAAATTAGCGAAAGAATACACCGAAGTAGGAGAGCAGCAGGGAGGAGAACACACGAAACACACAGCCACACACGCGTTCACCCGGGAGCACACTAATGCGGGGGGGAGGGGGGGGAGGCGGGGAGGCGGAGGTGGGATCGTGGATTTCCGGTCTGGCGCCGGAAGTGGCTCCTCAGCGCCGCCGCCAGCTTTCCGCGGAGAAAAGCGCACTGGAGTTTGTGCTGCTAGTGGTGCACGAGGTTCGTGGGTTCTGCTTTTAAACGCGTCTGTAAATCGAGATGTCGCACCCGTCCCCAGAAGCTAAGCCTTCCAATCCCAGTAACCCCCGAGTCTTCTTTGATGTGGACATCGGAGAGGAGCGAGGTGAGCGAAGTTGTTGGCTGAAAGGCCCCGAGGAGGAGGGGCTGGGGGCGCTTGGGGGACTCGCAGGCTGCCTTTCGGGCCGGGGGCTGCTCGGTGGCACTGAGGCATGGCTTCTTGGGACCCATCTGGAGCAAGATCGGCAAGCGGCGTGAGGTGGAACCAGGGCTTTTGTGCTAATGCTGTCGGTCATGAGGAAGTTTCTGGAAATTTCTAGTTCTTGGAAGGAATTGTGGCGGTCTTAATATTTCACTTGCCTTCTACCTGTGCACCACCAGCTTGTCACAAAATAAGCTTATTTTATATTTGCTATGGGGCTCTTCAGAAGCCTTGTGTGTCTTCGGCGCTCCAGTCACTCAACACGTCTTTTGGCGCACAAAATGTGTGTGTGTGTGTGTGTGTGTGTATGTATGTATGCACATATATGTGCACCTGCCATGTTACTTATAAATTAAAGCCACTTATTTGCTTAGTGCTTTTTCTTTACTACTAATTTTAGAGGTCAGATAAGCAAAAGTTTTTTCTATTTTAGCATTGGGGAATTGAACTCGGGAGTAGCTCTGTTGCCTAGGATACCTACCTGCTTAAAAGTTCCTAAGGCCTTGTGAAGTTATATTTATAACTGAATTGGTCTTCTATAACATGTTACAGTTTCTGACCAGGCAGTGTGTTTGAATGCATGTATGGGACACACACATTTTACATGTACCTTCAGCTTGTTTTGGAGCTAATTCCAAAACAGTTTTGGAATTTTCGCATTTTAAGGTGTTGTATAGAAGAGGAATTTTTTCAGCTTTTATTTCAAAGACCGAACTAGGCAGTTTGCACAAAGTACAGAGAAGGGCTACAGATACATATAAAACTGGGCCAGCCGGACCACTGAAAGGGTATTTTATTTTATTTTTTGGTACTGAGGATTGAACTCGAGCACTGGACCATTGAGCCACATCTTCAGCCCTATCTTGTATTTTATTTAGAGACAGGGCACCTTGATTTTGCTGAGGCTGACTCTGAACTGAACTTGGGATCCTCCTGCCTCAGTCTCCTGAGATGCTGGGATTATAAGTGTGTGCCACTGTGCCCGGCTTCATTTTCTCTTAGTGGTTGGTTGGTGATTGGAAATTCTGAATACAGTTTATTTGGGGGCTCATGGTTTCAGAGCTCTCAGTGCATCGACATCTGGCTCTAGTCCTTGGGTCTTTGAAGTGAGGTTGAACATCATGGCAAAGAGTGTGGTGGAGGGAAGCAGCTCACATGATGATCAGAAGCAAAGAGAGACTCCATTCACCAGATATAAAATATGTACCCCAAAGGGATGCTCCCAGTGACCTACCTCTTCCAGCCACACCCTACCTGCTTTGGGTTAACTGAGTGATAACTTAGGCGTTAACCCTATCAGGGGATTAATTCAGTGATTGGGTTAAGGCTTTTATAACCTCTTTCATTTCACCTCTAAGTCTTCTTGAATCGTCTCGCACATGAACTTATGTGGAACACCTCACATTCCAAACCATAACACCAAGGGAAATTAAATTTGTATATTGAGATTTCTGCATTCCCATGTACTGCAGCATTATTTGCAATAGCAGAAATAATAGCATCAACCCTGTAATGTCAGTGGATGATTAGATAAAATGTGTACATACACACATACACACACACACACACACACACCAAGGAGTATACTATTCAACCCCCAAAAAAAGAAGAAAATAGTGTCATTTGCGATATGGAAGAACCTTGAGGACATTATGTTTAAGGGAAATAAGCCAAATACAGGAAGACAAATACCACATGATCTCACCTGAATGCATCATCTAAAAAAGTTGAACTCATAGAAGTAGAGAGTAGAATGGTAGATACCAGGGGCTAGGGAGAGGTTGCTCAAATGATATTCAGTTTGAGGAACTATATGTTCATGATATATATATTTTTAATATTTTTGTTTTAATTGTACATGGACACAGTGCCTTTATTTTTTTGTGGTGCTGAGGATGGAACCCAGTGTCTCACTTGTGCTAGGTAAGTATTCTACCACTGAGCTACAACTCCAGCCTCTAAGTTCATGATCTTTTGTACAACATTGTGATTATAGTTAATAACAATTATTGTGTTCTTGAAATTACCAAAAAAAAATAAAAAAGACCAAGAGAATTTAGTAATTCACGAGTGATTTGTTACCATATTTGTACCAATTATCCTTTTGTCATTTGGTGGTTTGTTTTTGCATACTGACACAATTTCATTTTCTTTTCTTTTAGTTGGTCGAATAGTCTTAGAATTGTTTGCAGATATTGTACCCAAAACTGCAGAAAATTTTCGTGCATTGTGCACAGGAGAAAAAGGCATTGGACCCACGACTGGGAAACCTCTCTATTTCAAAGGATGTCCTTTTCATCGAAGTATGTATACATTTTCTGAATTTACCTTCAAACAAATTCTGTTCTTCAGAAGATAGGGAAGAAAACATTGAGATGGGAATAAAGGTTAAAAAGTACTGGTGTAGTTAGTTCCTAAGAGGATGCTTTGGCATGAGAAGTAATAGCTCAATTTCATAAAGACTGGACTGTGAGGTGGAATTAATTATGGGCGAGTACTAGGGTTTATCTATAGGGAAATGGACTACACCTGTCTTCACAAGTTTTTCTTCACTCCCAAACCATTTGATTGAGAAAGAAAGAGCATAGCCATGATAAAGTGAGCTGGCCTTAGGTAGTTGACTGCCTGGTGACAGAAAAGTTATTTTTACTTCATGGGCAGGATTGCTTGAGAAGGCTGCAGATTGTAGATTCAGTGTCTTGGACACACTGGTGATTAAAGTATATCATTTTGCACTTTGTAATCATTCTTTTATTTAGTGTTTACTTAACAATAGACTGAAGGTTCTGTAAGTTTAACTATATGTTCTTATCACTTTGTCTTTTTAGCACCTTGTATAATTATTGAGTAATCACTCAGTAAATGTTTATTTATGAATAACATGAATAATTTTTTTGTTTTTGCAGTGCCTTACTGCAAGCACTCTATCACTGAGCTATACCCTCAGTCCTGTGGTTATGTTTTAAAAAATAATTTATTAAGAAAAATTAGGATCAATTATTAAATGTTTTAAGCATTTATTTGCTTATGTGTTTCATAAGAAATCAATGTGCTAACAGAATATATGTAGAAAATAGTTAACATAGCAGGCCCAAGGCTGATATCCTTATAAAGGTCTGCTTCCAAGAGTAGCACTTAGCTGGAGTTTGGGAGCTTGGCACTTAAACCATTCCTTAAATCATAAGGGTGTTTACTGTCTCTAGACCGTTTATACAAATGTATAACTTATGTTGAATATCTGCTTTCTTTTTCTTTTTGGGAGTCTGGAATTTTGGAATATGCTAGGCAGAGTATCTATGTGATAAGGCCTTCATAAATACCTGGGATGCTGAGTCTCTAATTGGCTTTCTTGGGCACAATTGTTGTACATGTTTCTACATCTTCATTGCTGGGAGAAATGTGTTCCATGATACTTCATGGGAGGGAGGCAGCATAATGAAGCCTGCACATGGATTTCTTCAGATCCTGCCTGTCTTTTTCCAGCTGTGTATCCTTATGATTATAATACAATCAAATGTTGAGACCATGAGTCCTAGGGATCTCTGAACATGGTAGTGATTTTGGTAGCTCTTGATATAAAGGGATAATTTTACTGAAGTATTTTTATTAGGGTGTAAAACATACTAGGACTAATTGGTCTTCATTCAGCAAACATTATTGAATAGCTACATACATAGTTACAAGGAAGAAAAAGAGTTGCTGTACATAAAGAACTCAGTGGTGGAAGAAATAGATCATTATGTAAGATGAAGTTAGAGTCAAGATATGTTGGAGAAAACTTAAGATATCCAGATTTTGGGTTTCATTGACAGTTTTACTTATAGGTGATCAGGTGGTAAAATGTAGATTGGACTCAGATTGCAAAAAGTATAGAGTTGTTAAGATAGGTGTGAAGAAAACCAAAGATTAAATGTTCTCTCTGATATGTGGATGCTGATTCACAAAAGGGAATGGAAAGGAGTAGAGGGGATTGGAATGGGGGGAAGGAGGAGAAGGGAGTGGGAATGGGAATGGGAATGGGAAAGACAGTAGAATGATTTGGACATAACTTTCCTATGTTCATGTATAGGTACATGACCAGTATAACTCCACATGTACAACCACAAGAACGGGAAGTTGTACTCCATGTATGATATGTAAAGTACATTCTACGGTCATGTGTAACTAAAAAGAATAAATAAAAAAGATAGGTGGAGAAAGACAAATGGGAGGGTGTTGTGACTAAAATGCTTTAAGAAGTTGTTTTTATTATTACCTATTCATTAGTTAATATGGCTGAGGCTATCCATGTGTCAGTCACTAATAGCCATTCTCCTTTTTTTGTAGTTATTAAGAAATTTATGATTCAGGGTGGAGACTTCTCAAATCAGAATGGGACAGGTGGAGAAAGTATTTATGGTGAAAAATTTGAAGATGAAAATTTCTACTATAAGGTAAAGTAAAGGAGAAAGTGTGTATTTTTGCTAACATAAAGGTTACAACACATGTGAAATATATTTATTGGATAGTTTTAAAATACCAAAAAAAGACCTTAAATGTGCCTAGATTATGCTTTACTTATAAAAGGAATCATATTTGTAAATATGCTTTTTTTTTTTTTTTTTTTTTGTGGTGCTTGGACTTTTAAATCTAGGGTCTTACACATACTAGGCAAGCCCTTACCACTGAGCTACATCTCCAGCCCAGTATCCATGTTAATATGGAAGGTCTTCATCCAGTAATAAATTTTATTTGTCAAAAATACTCTATTATTTCTTTGTGGTAGAGTTTTTACATGCTTTGTTTAAGCCAATGAGTTCTCTTAAGATATGTGATAAGGCCCCAATAAATACCTGGGATGCTGAGTCTCTAATTGGCTTGATAAAATGAGCCCATATGGCAAATTGATTCCAGGAAAAATGTTTTTGTTGTAAAGATGATAATTTGTGCATCTTTATTCTTGAATTTGAAGAGCAACAAAAATCATCGCTAATATCCATGATGTCAGGGGATTTGCAAACTAGTGGATGTGGTTAATGTCCAAGCTTCTAAAGGACATTAGTGGTACCTGTGCCTTCTTCATTGGCTCAAGATCTAATCGGGGTATATTGCATCATTCAAGTTTTAAGAATGGACATGTAAGTACAAAAGTAAAGTGATATCTTTGGAAATGAGGAATGTGAGCAAGGTAATGAGGAAAGTTTGAAAAGCAATTGTCATCATTCTTTTAAATAGTACTTATTGACAGTAGTTGTATGCTCAGTTCTATCACTGGAACCAGAAAGATTATAAAAATGAAAGGCTTTGATGACAAGGAATTTATAATTTTACCTTGGAGACAAGATTTAAAAATATGGGACAACTAGAGAATAATAAGATACAAATAAATTCTAAATTGAGTGAATATACTTAACTTGTATAAATTTGATCCAGGTTGAGGAACCCTTGTATGAAATGCTGAGAAACAGAAGTGTTTCAGATTTTGGAGTTCCTTAGATTTTGAATATTTGCATCTGCTTTCCCAGTTAAGCATCCCTAATCCCCAAATCTGAAATCTGAATTTGTGAATGCTACTGCACAAAAATTCAGATTTTGGAGTCTTTTAGATTTTGGATTTTCACATTATAGATTCACAACTCAGTAATATAAACTTTATGTGTGCTCTGGGGCAAGGATGTGATTTATATGACCCAAGTTATTAAAGGAGACATTGAGGAGGAATGGGTAAGCCTGGCCTTGCAAGGTGACTGAAATTTTTTTAGGCAAGAAATAAAATAAGTAAAATTGAAGGATTATGGATGAGGACAAAGACAGTGGAAAACTGAGAAAAGTAGTTAAAATTATAGCTAATGTTTTGGGGAAAGCACCAAAAGAAGCTAATGGAAGAATGTAAACCAAGATAATGTAATGATTTCATGCATACCAAAAAAAAAAAAAAAAAAGGAAGCTTCTAGAAAGGAGACCTGCTTCTTGTCTTTGTCTTCTATAATTTTGGTAGCCTTGAAAGCTGAATTATTTAGATTGGAGAGATAAAAGGCATTTTAGGTGGAAAAACTTAGAATTTATCACCAATGAGGAGGTGTTTACAAAGCCGAAGAAATAAAATAGAAAAATGAAGTTTTCGTGACAGAACTATTGAACAAGGTAGAATTTTGATTTCAAGATGTAGTTAGCAGTTTCCTTTGTATACTCCCTGAAGAGTTAATTTACCTGATATAAAAGCCACAAGGTTTAGATTCTTTTGTGACTAGGAAAGTACCTTAACTGAATGACTAGTCAAATTCAATATCCCATTACTGTTCCCAGTTAATGGATGTGTAAAAGAAGAATAATAATGTAGGCCTATTACTGAATGTGGGAAAACTCTTCAGGTCTTCAAGAGCAGCCATCATAAAAGGGTAGAAATATATTATTAGATTATTTTAAAGATGAAGTGTATCATCTTCTTAAAGTGACCAATTTAGAAATTAACCCCCATTTCAGTTACCTTATTTGATTTCATTAGCTTTTCCTAAAGTTTAAGAAGTGATCAAATACCCCCTATTTTGTTCATCGAAGGTTTCAGTTTATACAAAGTAAAGGTAATAGAACATTTCTTAAATAAAAGTATAGTCTGGGTATGTAACTCAGTGTTAAAATACTTGCCTAGTATGCTAGAGGCCCTGGATTCAGTCCTAGTACCACAAAACAAAAACAAAAAAAGTAAAGAAAGAACAATTAGTTTGATATAATGGTAGAATGGCTCATGTTACCAACTATCCTGACTTTATGTGAGTGGTCAGTAAAAGAACAGTTTAGATTAATACCCTAACTTTCATTTTCTTTGAATGATTTTTTTTTTTCCTACAGCATGATCGGGAGGGTTTATTGAGCATGGCAAACGCAGGCCGCAATACAAATGGTTCTCAGTTCTTTATCACGACAGTTCCGACTCCTCATTTGGATGGGAAGCATGTGGTGTTTGGCCAAGTAATTAAAGGCATAGGTGTGGCAAGGATGCTGGAAAATGTAGAAGTGAAAGGTGAAAAACCTGTCAAAGTAAGTAAAGTTATAGTGAAATATACATATTGTCATAGTTTCTATCTTAAAATGTTCTAGTGATTATTAAATTAGCTGGAAAAATTGGAAAATGTTAGGATGATTTTGATTTAGGAGCCTGCATCTATCACTTTATTTTTGTACCTATTGTCTAAAGGAAGCTTTTTAATTCTTATTTCAAATTTAATGTATTTTTGCTAGATTACTTAAAAGTCTCCCTATACCAGCAAAAGTTTTGATCCAGACTGTATAATAATACACAGTAGAAAAAGGATAGCAAACCTAGATTCTTATTCTAGAGATTTGGCCTTGATCATTTTACTGAATTTTTTTGGCCTGTTTTCCTCATCCATTGTTCCTAAAGTGTTTAGACTGTATGATTTCTGAAGATACTTGTGTTCTAGATGTCTGTGAATCAGAATGACCATAGTATTGTGCATCTTAAGTTTTAAGTGGGCATTGGAAACTTAGTTACTTGTAGGAGGCAAGCTTTGGAATTCAGAGTATGAAGGGAATTATAGTAAATTAAAAGTTCATACCTCACCAAACAATAATTAACATGGAGAATGGTAAAATTAACAATTTACTATGTGTACACTGAGCTTCTGAATACTTAAGTAGATAGTGATATTGTTATATTAGTTGGAATAAATAAGTAAAAAAGGCATTATTGTAATTATAATAAAAGTTTCTAACTGAAGTCTATGACTTCGGTAGTGTTGTTATTTACAACTATATAGCTTTTAAAGAAGACTTTTTAAAATAATATTTCATTAATATGGTAGTATATTTCTACAATTCCATTATTATTTTTACAGTTGTGCGTTATTGCAGAATGTGGAGAACTCAAAGAAGGGGATGATTGGGGAATATTACCAAAAGATGGCTCTGGCGATAGTCATCCAGATTTCCCAGAGGATGCAGATATAGACTTAAAAGATGTAAGTACTTTCAAATTAGTACTTTAATAAATAAAAATTTTTAGTGCAAAAAGTTTGGGATTTTGTATCACTCTGTATAATGATAAAACCTATCATATTACTTGTTAACTTCCAATGTGTTTGTATTCCTTTGTACAGGTAGATAAAATTTTACTAATAACAGAAGACTTAAAAAATATTGGAAATACTTTTTTCAAATCCCAGAACTGGGAGATGGCCATGAAAAAATATGCAAAGGTTTTAAGGTAATTAAACATTTTAAATAAATTACTGTTAAGATCTTGTAAATTGAATTATAAATTGAAATTCCAAATTCCTCATTGTATTTTGGCAAATTTCCTGTGGAATAAACATCTGTGTTTGAAATAGTTGCATTTCTTTTGTTGCTGCAGCTTATTTTGAAAAATTTCAAAATACAGAAGAGTTGAGGTGTAGATAATATTGTATTTTGGCTATATATAACATCGTGAAGGTGTAAATCAGTTTGACCAGAGTTTGTTCACTTTGTACCAGTGGAATGGATGTGTCTGTTCCAGGAGACCCTTTTCCCCATGAGGTGATACTGAGATTATATGGAAACCCAACAACCTTTCACACAGTAGTTTTAGTGTCATTAAAGATCCTTACCCTTACTTATTACACTAATTGTTGGAGAACTGTGATATTCTACAGTTGTTAGCTGGCATTCTGTGTAAGAAACCCCTGCCCTCCATTTGGTAATGTTGTAGACCTGTGGTTTTTTCATTTTGGTTTATTAATGTAGCAATACTGTGATTCTTTTTGGTACTCAAAGAGTTTAATATTGTTCAGTGGAAGCCCATTTCATTTTGACTTGCTGGTTTTTTTTTTCAGTGATGGAGATTAAAGTCAGAGCCTCACAAATGCTAGGCAAGAGCTCTACCACTGAGTTATATCACCAGCCTCATTTTGACAATCTGTGATCACTTGCTTCCTTTCTGACACAAGATTTGTTTCAGAGTCATCTTATAATCACCTGGCTTTTGTATCTGGTATCAGCACTTTCTCTAAGGAGCTCTGATAAATTTCAAAGAAAGAAAAGTTTAGCAGCTCAATTCTAGGGGCTTGGTATGCTCTGTTTCTTGGTCTTTTTCAGTGAACAATTAAAAATGAACACTTAATGGTTGTTCTTTACCTTTTGCCAGTCAGTACACTTCTGGTACCTTCCTGGTTCCAAATACAATTACATTGAAAAGTACCTAATGGGACCTGAGTTTTAACTTAGAGGTGTGTTACTACTACTGCACAATTGATACAATTGATTTGGGAAATTCTTTTTTTTTTTTAACTGGGGGTTGAACACAAGAGTGCTATACCACTGAGCTACATCCCCAGCTTTTTTATTTTTATTTTCAAACAAGCATTGCTAAGTTGCTGAGGGCTTTGATAAGTTGCTGAGCCGTATCTTGAACTTGGTATCCTTCTCTCTCAGCCTCCTGAGTTGCTGGAATTAACAGGTGTGTACCACCACACCTGGCTTCTGGGAATTGTTTGTTCTTTTTGAACACTTTGGGAAAAAATGTTTTAGGAAATAAAAATACCTCATAAAGAAAATGACCTTCAAAAGAAAAATAATGGGTATGGGAGTAGAGCTCAGTGGTAGACTGTGTGTTTATTAGGGTGCTCGAGGCCCTGGGTTCAGTCTCTGGCCCGCAACAAAAAATAAAAATAAAAAAAATGTGTAATAAGAAGATTGTGGAGATTGGATATTAAATTAGTATCTGCTTTTTTTTAATATTTACTTTTTAGTTTTAGATGGACACAATATCTTTATTTTTATGTGGTGCTGAGGATCAAACCTGGTGCCTCACGCATGGTAGGCGAGTGCTCTAACTCTGAGCCACAACCCCAGCCCTAGTATCTGCTTTTTATATCAGAAATGATGTAACATTTTTTGGTATTTTTGAAGTAGTAGAGTAAGTCTTGTTTGTGTGGAATTACATATTGCTTTTATTAATTTTTTTTCCAGATATGTGGATAGTTCAAAGGCTGTTATTGAGAAAGCAGATGGATCTAGGCTGCAGTCTATAGCCTTAAGCTGTGTGCTGAATATTGGTGCTTGTAAACTGAAGATGTCAAATTGGCAGGGAGCAGTTGACAGTTGTTTAGAGGTAACTGTGTAATATTGAACTTTTTGAAGGAGAGGGATTTTGGCATACCAACTTGAACAAAACCACTTTTTACATATCTGAATATGTCTTATTGCATATTGTCTCTAAATATTTTGGACCTTCAGAACTTCCTTTCAATCCATTCATTTTGCTTTTTTTAAATAAATTAAAAAATTTTTTTAGTTGTAGATGGACACAATACCTTTATTTTATTTATTTGTATGTGGTGCTGAGGATCGAACCCAGTTCTTCACATGTGCTAGATAAGCACCCTATCACTGAGCCACAAGCCTAGCCCCTCGTTTTGCTTTTTGACCCTGTGTACTTAATATCTTTGAAAGACTTTCCTATTTTTCTCTTAAAGCATTTGTCAGTTCATATATTCATTTAAGAGCACCTATTATATGCTAAGCATTGGAACACAAAGTTAGAAATGACTAGGTATGTGGAGTTAGGCATGCCACACCCCCAGTGCCTTTACCATTGAACTCTACCCCTAGTCCCAGCATGGTTTTATTTATTTATTTATTTTAAAATAAATTTTTAGTTGTAGTTGGACACAGTGCCCCTATTTATTTATTTATTTTTGTGGTGCTGAGGATCAAACCCAGTGCCTTGCACATGCTTGTCAAGCTCTGTACTGCTGAGCCACAACTCCAGCCCCACCCAGCATGGTTTTTCAAATTAGACCTCTGCCATTCAGCTAATTTTGTGATCTTGTATAGATTCCTAATTTTTATAGAATCTGAATTTTGTTTTCTATAAATTGAAAATAATACCTACCTGATAGGATGGTTGTAAAAGATTATAAAGCAAGTTTTAAGTACTTAGCACTGTGCTTGGCACATTTTATGTACTCAGTGAATTTAGTTTGTTTTTAATTACAAGATTCATATTTCCTAGAAACTTAATAGATTTAGTTTAGGAGGGGGCCAGTTTCTATTTAGGGTCATCACACCTTGTATGGGAGAATGGATACTATTTGGAATACACAGAAAGGTCATTTGTCTTTATGAGAGCTATCTAGTTACATTAACTAATAAAGCTAGAAAGCATTACCTTTCTCAAAATAGATCGATTATGACTCTCTTTCCTGTTATATAGTTGTTTGAAAGTATTTCCAAACTAAATGTTTTGATTTTTGCCCACTAAGCTATAGATTAGCTATAGAACCGAAATGAGATTCTGTACTAGGGGTGTAGTTAAGTTGTAGAACACTTGCCCAGCATTCATTCATGAGGTCCTGGGTTGAATCCCAACACTGCTACATTAAAAAAAAAAAAAAAAATCTGCTTAGAGTAAGTGAATAGAGGATAAGAAAATATATTTGCAGTTTTGGGATCAAATCTAAGACTCTTATTCATGTAAGGCAAGTGTTTTAGCAGTGTATACCCGAAGTCCTAGAATATATTTAGAAGGGAACATACAACAGAGGAAAAAATTGATCTTTACTCTGGGTCTCCATAACTTGTGAGGCAGATGTTTCCTTTTCAGTAAATCTGTGATTATTGGCTTTTAAAATATATAAATAGAATGTTAATTTAAAAATGTTTATTTTAGTGAAAAGATCTTTATAAAGTTACTCAGGTTCCTAAGAAATTTAGATTTCAATTAAAAGCATGTATAGTTGGCCTTCTGTATCCATGGATTCCATATTCTAAGATTCATCCAGCCTCAGATTGAAGATTTCTTTTGTACTAAACATGTGAAGACTTTTAAATATATGGAAGGAAAGGTATAGGTTATTAAATGCAAATACTGAACCATTTATATTAAAAATTTAAATCTCCAGATTTAATTTGCAGGGGGTGAGTTGAGCTGTCCTGGAACTATTCCAGAGACACTAAGGGACAACTTGCAAACTTTCATTTACAGTGTTTTCTTTTATAAATACATTAGTTAGGACTGAGTATGGAGAGAGAAACCACAGTGCTGAGGAGCATGTTAAAGATATGGACAAGAAACACCTTCCTCCTCCATATAGTGCCCTCTGCTGACAAATTGTCACACTATGCCAACTGGCAAAAGACAGCTGTTCATAGTCTTCAGCTGAAGTGGATTTGAAGGTGTCAGGCAATAAATGAATCTGAAAAATGTATTTATTTAGATAGTTATAATTTTTTAATTTTTATAGGCTCTTGAAATGGACCCATCAAATACTAAAGCACTGTATCGAAGAGCTCAAGGATGGCAAGGATTAAAAGAATACGATCAGGCACTGGTAAATTTTGTTTCAAATGTTTTACAATAAACAGTCACCTTTGTAAATTAGATCTTAATTTTTCACAACTTTTTTTTTTCCAATTAAAGGCTGATCTTAAGAAAGCTCAGGAGATAGCACCAGAAGATAAAGGTAGGTTGGCTGTTTTTGTAGTCAAAGTTCATTTAGCACTTTAAAATTATGCTCATGAACTGTTTTACTCTTAACTTTGGCAGATATCAGGCATTTGTTCAGTGGGTCTTATAGAATGCCTGTTACTGGGCCATGTATATCAGTGAATAAGACAAGGTCCTCCCCTGATAGAGCTTGTTTTCATTCCTCTCAAGAATGCACTAGTTTTTCACAGTGCACTTAATATGGTTTATTCTGCCTTATCATTTGAGATCCTGTTTTTGTTACTATGACATTCTTTGAAAGGTCAATACTCAGGTATAGTATTCATTGTAAATCTAATTTTTGGGACCATTCCTTAAGTGGACCATCATGGCAAGTAATCTAGTATTCTAGATACTGAATATGTTTTGGAAAAGCTATGACAAGTAAATTTATTTTTTTAAATTAAACCAAAAGTGAATAGCAACACCAGATCTAAATATTTATCTCTTTGGTCCCTTTTTGCTAAAATAAAACAAGGTAGTTACTACTCTCTAAAATGGAGATGGAGAAACAAGTATTGATGTGATTGAGTTCTCTCAGTTGGCAGTCTTCTGAAATTATGCTTCAGGGTTGTTGTGAACTCTGCTTTCTTGGAGTAGAGTTTTCTGTTAATAGGGTTGTTATTTTATCCAGAAGAAAAGTTTTGTCAATGGGGAGGAGGAGTTGTGATATTATAATCGTTTGTTGGTCATCCTAATCTTTTTGTTTTGAGAAATAACTCATTGCCTATTTTTTTTTGCAGCCATCCAGGCAGAATTGCTGAAAGTCAAACAGAAGATAAAGGCAGAGAAAGATAAAGAGAAGGCAGTATATGCAAAAATGTTTGCTTAGAAAGGATTCAATTTTGCTTAAATATTATGCATTTATTGTATAAAGGCAATAAGACAATGTAAGAGTTATTGTCTATATGTGATTGCTAATGTGATTCCTTTGACATTTCAGTTCTTCATTTATCTCTTTGGTCACTTTAAAATACTGATACAGGTTCCCTGTTAATAAAAAGTGGCAAAAAATACAGTGAAGTTCATTTAAAAATTCTATCTGTACTTTCATAAAGAATGGTGTGCAGTTTGCTTTTTTTTTTTAGTATTTATATTTTAGTTATAGGTGGATACAATCTTTATTTTTATGTTGTATTGAGGATCGAAACCAGTGCCTCACGCATGGTAGACAAGCATTCTACCTCTAAGCCACAACTCCAGACCTCCAGTTTGCTTTCAAACTCCTTAAGTTATATCTTGTTGAATGAACTGATGAACACTTATTTGTATATTGTTTCCCTCAATCCTTATACATTATGTGGTAAGTCTGTGCTGGTGTTTTATGCTTAGAGATGACACTTAGGATTTGGCAGTTTTTCTGTGAAGGGCCAGATAGTAAAATTTTTACAGTCACCATCTAGTCTGTCACAATTACTCAGTTCTGTAGTTATAACTCAAGACAGTGTATAACCGATGGGCATGGCTGGTTCAGTAAAACTTGATTCATAGTAAGTGCTGAGTTAGATGCTAATCCCTGGTCTAGAATGTGTATTCAGTTTTACATTTGAAGATTTAAATTTGGTAAATCAACTGTATAGTAAAGCCCAATAAGGCATTTTGCTGTTGGTGCTGAAATCTTGAACATCAAAGAGGTAAGTAAATGCTACATAATTTTTAGTTTTATTGTAAGAGGAAATGTTTCATAATTTTTATGGGATAATTTTACATAGATATAGTATAAAACATTTATTTCACCAGTAGTTATTCTGTGAAGGAAAATTGTTAACTTCTGAATATTTTAATGTTAGTTTGCTATACATTTACATTTTAAATGTAAATGTGCCTGAAATGAAATAAATTGCAGTTTACATTCCATTATAAGCTGGTCCTCCTCCACCTTCGGGCACCACCCAGTTAATATTCTGACTTGGATCTTTAATATCACATGTTTTACAGTGCACACAGTTCTGAGCATTTATCTGTAACCGAAATCCATCACCTTGTTCCAAAGGTACAAATTCATAAACTCCTGAAAGTAAAAATGAATAATGTTAATGGAGTGGTACTAGGGATCAAACCTTGGGCCTTGCATATGCTTGACGAGCACTCTCTAAGCGGTATATCCTTAGCACTTTAATTTTTTTGTTTTAAATTTTGACATGGTCTTGCTAAGTTGTCTAGACTGGTTTTGAACTTGTGATCATCTTTCCTCAGCCTCCTGAGTAGCTAGTATAACAGGGGTATGTCACCATACCCTGATCAACAGTAGAATTAAAAATCCTCACCTACAGAAACCTTAGAAGTTGTTTTCTGAATGCTAGAGAATGTCATTATATAATGACAATCGTGGTGTGTGCTGCGGGCTGCTGTTAGTTTATAAATGTATATAAGATAAAGTAAAGTAGTACTGACTAGGTGAGTCTAACAAGGGTCTTTGGTACTTAGCCATCTTTGAGATACACAAACAAACACACACCCATGCTATAGCTAATAAAAGAAATCCACCCCACAGTGATGCTAAAAAGGTCCTTGCATTTGAAGGGCTTGCTTACATTCTAATTTCACTTGAGAATGTATTTATTCTCACATATCTGTATACTGTTGGTTCTACCATAGCATTTGAGACCTGGTTTGGATTAATCTTAGCTGAAAGCAGTAAGAAGATATCATATTCATGGTGAATTTAAAGTTTAGGACCACTCCTAAACTCAGTATGGCCATAACCTAGTTTAGCATGTGTGTGCACACAGGAGCTGCCATGACAAAAGTAACTTTTTAATAACTGTTCTTTGTTACAAGAACAGAGGTGGTATTTTGTGTTCCATAATCCTTATCTTGGTCTGACATTTCTGGAGAAATGTCATCTGAATTAGGTTTAACCAAAATTCCCTATTATTTTATCATTGTTAACTATTAATGCTAATTGCAAACTCATTTAGGTATGAATTTCCTAAAAAGAGCTGAGTGTAGTGGTCATAACAATTTCCAAGCAATGGAAATAAATAATTCCTAAATGGAATAATTTCTAAAATATTTGAAGCAGATATCTATTAATATTTAGGAATGGAAGGAAATTATTACCTGCAGGGCAGAATCGCTGCTCAGGCCCATCATATATTGATAGATTTCTGTTTACAGGTATGCTGTCATCCTTTAAAGTTAAATGTGCTGGCTGGTCATGTTCATGATTAGTACCACTTAAAGCCACAGATGACAAGAGATCAAAACTGATCTGTCCATCAGGTTTTGGATATTCAATAGGTGTGCAATCTTTGGCTGGCTTAAGCTGATCAGAGTCAGAACCTTCAACAATTTTCAGAAAAATATTTAACATAACAACAGTTTTCAAGTATATGTATGTTTTTTGATGCTGGGGATTGAACCCAGGCTCCTGTGTATGCTAAGCACACCCTCTACCACTGAGCTTTATCTCCAACCCTCCCTACATTTCTACCTCCTCATCAGTGCCTTCTAAAAGATAGGCAAGTGTTCTTAACACTGAACTGCACCCCTTCCCATTTTCAAGTACTTTCTTAACCTGAAAATAACGCCAAAGAAATACGGCTTTAATCCTCTAGTTACAGATCTTTGAAAGACAGCAATTATAATTTCTCTAAGCAAGCAAGCTTATAAAACATGAAAAGGTAAGGTCTTTTTCTCCATTAATTAATAGGTCCCATTTATAAGCTTTTAAAGATTATAACATTGACATTTTAAAATGTTTGAATTACCTTTATGTTTTAGGGTCCATGGTTCCATTCCTCTCAATATCCAGTAAAATATTCCAGTGTAAATCATCCCTCCATATAAACCCAATGCTCCATGGCAGGAAGGTCTTATGTTTCTAACAGAATACAGCTCTTTCCACACCCAAGATTTCTTCAAATTGTCCTCATACTCGGTTACATGGAGCCCTTTCATGAAAAACATGAAATGTTAACTGTAAAACAGCCTTAAGCTGCATAAAATACTCTATTGTTAAGGTATTTTGATAATGAAATATCTGATTAGTAAGTCGTAAGTAATTTTTAAATGTTGGAATCTTCCAAAAACATAATAATTTGATATACATGTTTGTTGATAGTAAACATTTGCTTTCTATGATTGTTTGTGGGTGCTGGGGATCAAATCCAGGTCTTTGCTTATGACAGGCAAGTACTCTACAATTGAGCTACAGTCCCAACCCTGAATACTTAACACTGGTAGTAAAGAAAATTAGTTTGAAAATTCAGCAAAACTGAGAAGAAAGCTTAAAAAGTTCATGCTACCAGTAAGTGAAAATTTGTATACCATCACAGAAAACACCAACTGTGTCTGGATTGAAATATTTCCATGTGAAAACGTATTTTGAAGTCCTAAACTCCAAAATTTAATAAGACTTTTACTTTATAATAGGGTGGTTCCAGATGTAATTAAGGCTTCCTGGAGTAGAATGGGTCCCTAATTTAATATGGCCAGTGTTCTTTTAAAAAGATGGAGACAGAGACTAAATTGCCAGAAGCCAAGGAATGTTTAAGGCTACCAGAAATTGGGGAGGCAAGATAAGATTCCTCTACAGAGACTTCAGAGAGGCAATATTCCTGTTAATCTTTGATTTTGTGCTTCTAGCTTACAGAACTTGGAAAGAATAAATTGTTGTTTTAAGTTACCTACCTAGTTTAGGATACTTTGCTATGGTAGCTCTAGGAAATTGTAATACCTAAAATATGGTACACTACCTTTAGGATTTAAGAAGACAATTGGTTCTTCTCATTGTCTTTCATGAACTCCACAGTGACTATGCTTTTTTCAGTTATTGTTTCCTGTCCTTGCTTCACTCCTTTTTCTCACAGGCTTTATTCCTTGCCTTTTGTGATACACTGGCTCAGTACTATGCGTTGGTATTATGGGTATATGATATAGTTGAAGTATGGCTGGTGGTCCAATAAGGAACAATATTTGACAAAAACATTAGGAAAAATTTCTACTCAACCATTCCATTTCTGACTTAACTTTTCTGTGTTGTACCTCATCCCCTCTACTCCCACATGCAAGGCCTCCATTCCTACAAAGACATTTGAAGGCATAACCAAGCTGCATAGTTTTTAATTTTCTACAGTGTACATGCTAGGTAATTACCACTGAACTGTAACCTCCCACCCCCCAAGTTGTGTAATTCTAACTCGTGGAACATTTGTTATCTGTGATTTTAAGGAATAAAGCTATTATCAAGTTATCTATTCAGTTACTGTACTGTGTGCCAGGTCTTCAGGATTCAAAATGAACAAAGTCCTTGCTCTCTTGGAGTTTTCATCCAAGTGGAAAGTGTAAAAAGTATAAATAAGTAAATGATATAGTATGCTAAAAAGTGGGAAATGCTGAAGAAAAGTGTTAGGGGTGGGGATGGGAGTGCTACATACTGCAGATTAACTGTTATGGGCAAGAGAGGGTCACTAGAGTGAAGTTTGAACAAAGGTAAAGGATGAATGAGGGAGCAAGTTATGAGCAAAAACCTTAAGATAAGAGCAAGCATGGCATGTTTTAGGAATTACAAAGAGGCCCATGTGGCTGGAATGGAGAGTGATAAAAGGTGAAGTTAGAGGGGCAGGGTAACTGGTTTTGAGAGGGGCAGGGTAACTTTGGTTTTGAGAAATACAATCCCTTGAGGGTCTATTTAGATAAAGAGTTTACTGAGGTGTGAGTGCTGGCTGTTCTTCTCTACTACATTAGAAGGGTCATTTACATGCCTGTGCTTGCAGTGTTTGCTAAGGAATGCACGCTGGTATTTGTGCGTTCTTACTGTGTGCCTTACAGGTATGCAGTATAAATGCAGTATTGTCAAATCTGGAATAGATTCTGGGGACACCACTGGTACTATTTTTTTTTTTTTTTTTTGGCTACACAGGAGACTAAGCCCAGGGGCACTCTATCATTGAGTGCATCCTCACTTTTTATTTTTATTTTGAGACAAGGCTGCTAAATTGTGGAGGATCAGCCTCTAGAGTTGCTGGGATTATAGGCATATACCACCATGCCTGATAATTATTATACTTTTGATATGAAGAAAACAGCATTGTTTTAAAGTTCTCTTGACAGTAAGTAATAAGAATATGTATGTATATGTGTGTGTGTGTGTGTGTGTGTGTGTGTATATATATTTTTTTTTTTGTACAGCATATACCTTAATACTGTTCACAAAGGAACAGATACAGTATACATCTTTAAGGTTAACTGTAACACACACAACCTGACAAAACTATTTCCTGTAGTAGGAATTTCTTACCTATTGTCTTTGATTGGAGATTTTCACTAGTTAGTTGATTAAAAATTGATTCTGCTGCCAAACTTCCACTTTTCATTGCAGTATGGGTACCTTTGATCTTGGGAACATTCAAGAAGCCAGGGCTACAACCAATTAGTAAACCGCCAGGAAAGGTAAGTTTTGGTATAGACTGAGGAAAAAAGGTTCAGAATATACTGTTAGCGCAAATTAGGCAAAACTGAACACGCCAAAGTCTTCTACAGCTATAGGGAAAGGTTGAAAATAAATAAATGAAAATGAATGCAAGAAGGTAAAGAAATAGAGCAAGGGCAGTTTTCATTTGCCTTTCCTAAGAGTGAGGACTAGGACTATTGCTGTTTTTCTGTTAAAAAGTTTTTCCTTTCCTTTCAGGACAGATTTAACATAGAAGCATGTTTTAAAATGATTTTATTTATACATATCTATGTCACAGTTAAAAATGTTCTCTAAACCTGGATGACTACATTCTTAAGTTGTGATTTGCTTTTACTTGTATTCTGGGAAAATACATGATTTAAAAGAAATTTTTATCTATCCTTTTTATTTCAGTTTGATATCTAGGGATGGAAATCTGTGATATAATTATGTTACCACTACAGCTAGGCTAAACAATATATTTTGATTAACTTAATGAGCTGAATTTCCAAAAAAATTTTAAAAAAAATATTTTTAGTTGTTGATGGGCCTTTATATTATTTATTTGTATGTGATGCTGAGAATTGAACCCATTACCTCCCATGATAGGTAAGCATTCTTCCACTGAGCTACAACCCAGCCCTCCAAAATTTTTTTTTTTAATATTTACTTTTTTTAGTTTTCGGCAGACACAACATCTTTGTATGTGGTGCTGAGGATCGAACCTGGGCCGTACGCATGCCAGGCGAGCACGCTACCGCTTGAGCCACATCCCCAGCCCCCCTCCAAAATTTTAAGACACGTATTTGAACTCCAGTATACTTTTTTTTTTACCCTGTGGGGGTGAGAGGTTTACTGGGGACTAAACCAGGGGCAATTTACCACTGAGTTACATCCTCAACCCTTTTTTATTTTATGACAGGGTCTCACTTAAATTGGCTAGGGCCTTGCTAAGTTGCTTAAGGTGGCTTTGAATTTGAGATCCTCCTGCTTCAGCCTCTTGATCCTCTGGGAATACAGGCATGTACTACTATGCCTGCCCAGTATACATTTTGGATTAAAAAAAGAATAATGTAATAAAGGGTGGCAATATTTTAGTCAATAGGAGACTGTTTTTAGTTAACAGAAGAGTATATGCTGCTCACAAGTGTAGCAGTTGAAATAGTGATGGGTACATGGGAAAATGTACTCCATAGTTTAAAAAGGAAAGAGAACCAATGCAGAATTGTTCTTCCTTTCTGTATTTTTGTTCTCCAAGGGCTTCCTAAATTAAGCCATGGGCTTTTGTTGAGAAAGTGATGAGGTGGTAAAAGTTTGGCTAATAATGCTGAGACAGACTTGAAGAGGTGGTTAACAGGGAAACCACTGCCACCAGCTGCAAAAGAGACATGGTAAGGCCTGGCATGGTGGCACATGCCTGTAATTCTAGTGACTTGGGAAGCTGAGGCAGGAGAATCAAAAAATTTTGAAGTCAACCTCAACAACTTAGTGAGACGCTGTATCAAAATAAAAATAATAAAAAGGCCTGGGGATGTATCTCAGTGGTAAAGCATCCCCAGTAACAACCAACCAACCAACCAACCAAAGACTAAGACATGGTGAAGGTTCTGTGTCATACCTCCTATCAATGACAAATAAGGATACGGAAGTAGCAAAACTTACAGATAGAAGGAATGCTGGTAAAAGATAAGTATCAGGGCTTAAGTCCTTTCATAGTGGTAATAAATTTTTTGTGGTAATAAATTCATGACTGTTCCTCAGACCAAACTCAATATTAGAACCACAGAACAGCAATGAATTAGGATCACAAAGCAGTGGAGAAAAAGAGCTTTTTGGAATGCTACCAGCTGAAAACAGATAATGGTTAGGGACTTGGATAATGCCAATTTTTTCTTAAATGAGGTGGTGACCTTTTTGATGCTTATTTAAGAGCTAGAAATGTGTGAAGGACATATATTGTTAGTTTAAGTTCTTTGAAACTGGGGGCTTAAATCCCATGAACAAAAATGTTACAGTAGAGTAGAGGCAGGATGTATTTATTTTTAAGTACTGGGAGGACACTATCCTGGGGGACAGTTTTACTGAAAGCTGGACATCATGTTAGGAAGTGAGAGACAAAGGAAAAGACATGCTGAAAAATGTTGGACAATATTTCTTAGCTCAAAATAATTAAAACAATGTTTCTAATTACTGTCTCAAGATTTCCCAAAAACTTAGTGGGAATAAGTATTTGAATCTTTGATTAAGTGAGTATATTCAGGTAAAAAGTGCTTGTTTGTAGTCATCTCTTTCTACTAATCTGCAAATCATTTGAGATGTTTAAGTACATAAGGCATTGTTTTTAAAAGAAAATTTGTATACTGAGATCTTTATATTATAAATTACACAGCAGAATTAGATTAATAGACAATATGAACATTATTTAAAGGAATTCAGTAGGCTTGAAGAGTTATGCAAATCAATAAATATGTCTAGCAAATGAATTACTACTCCAGAAACAAAAACACCTAATGAGAGTAATCCCATAGCAGAACTTAAGATAGTGTTAAGATTTTAGTGATTATGTTTATAATATACATAATGATTTTACTTTTCAATTATTGTTACAGTAATAATGCATTTAGAGTTCATTTTAAGGTTAAGCCAACCCTCTTCTCCCATTTTTCTATTATCTGTTTATTTTATAATAAATTTTAAAAAGCCAGTTTCCAAAATAGTGTTAGATTCTTAGAACATTTAGAGACAGAAGGGATCATCTTTATTTTTACATACGATCCCTTATGGCCAAAGAAATTAACTTGGTCAAATCATTTGGTAAGTTTTAGAGCTGGTTTTTAGAGCATCTTACTTGTCTAATACTATTTTCACAATAATAATAATGGTTTTAATCATAGCCATCTAGATCTTATTTCATTGTTTAGTATATTATTGATACATTAACTATATTTGAAATGATTTATTTCAGACATATAAAATAGGGGAGTTAAGGTTAAGATTAAGGTTGCTGAAAATTAAATTTACCTTCGAGTTTCCTGGCAGTTAAGGACAATGGAAATATCATGTGTCACAGAGTTATCACTTTGTGGTTGAAAATAAACTGACAAGACCCTCATGAATCTCTAGAGATCAATATATTCTTAAAATTAAATTCATAGTATATACAATTTAATTACCATGTACATGGTTTTATAAAAATTTTCTTTCTATGAGATAATTTTCTATTCTTTCTCAGTTGGTTATAACTTATTTTCAATTTGGAATTGATAATACATAAATAAGGAAAAACCAATTGGAAGAGTTACCTGAAAGCCACCTTCATTGAGAGCTCTGGCTCCATAGGCAATTCTTTTTCCACCTTCCAATGTTGGCTGAATGCTGGGATGGTGTTTCCACCTTTGGAATTCTCTGAATGGACTCAGGTATGGATTTTGATAGTCCAGACCAACCTTAAAATGTGTACATTTAAATTTGACTATTTATAAGCAAATAAATATGTTAAATTTCTCACATGCAAAGTATCTGTAGAAACATACAATAATGCAAATTTAAACAAGTGATCATAAAATCTGTGTGGAAAAGAAAGCATAGACAAAAGGTTACCATGTGTTTATAATCAGCAAAACTTAAAAAATTTGGAGCATATTAACAAATCACTGCTCTGGAAATAAAAGTACAGTATGAAAAATATCTATAGGTATCTCAGATTATGCTTTTACAAAAGGAGTTGTAATTATTTATTATTCATTTATCAATACCAACTCTAGGAGTCAACTAATAATCCACTACTATAGTACTACTAGGGCAAAAATGAAAAAAAAGGATGTAAACTACATTTAGAAAAAAAAGAATAAGGGATAAAGGTTACATTTTACAAGGCATTACTAAAGTGCTGGAATTACTAACTACACCGTTTTTCTTTGGTTAGATTAAATGAATCAATATCCAAAGGTGATGCACTGAACACTTGACCAGAGGTAAAAACACCTATATGCATAAATTTAACAATGTGTTATGTACAATCCTACCCATGACACTAAACTATAAAATTGCCACCAAATGCAAAGTATAGAAACTCTTACTTCTCTTTTCCTTGAAATGTTCATGATGTAATTTACTGCAAAGATGTAGGTAGTCAAGAAAGAAGAAGCTACTTATATTTTTAAAAAGTTGTAGGTTCAAATCCAGTTTGATTTCATATTTGGTGGCAGCATGCCATAGTGGAAATGGGCTTTGAAGGCAGATAACTTCACGCATGAATCCTGCTTCCATCATTTGGTGTGCTTGGAAAAACCGTTTAACTTGTTTGGACTTCAGCTTTCTCATAAACTCTAAGGATATGCTTACTTCATAGGACTCTTAGGAAAGTTAGTAATATCAGTAAAGTGTCTAGCATGGTGCCTGGAATGTAGTAGCTGCTATTATTATATGTGTGTTTCTAAGTCCACTGATTTTTATGATAGTGATAAGCACTTTACATATTGGTAAAATTGAAAAACAAGATTTAAATGAAAAGCATTTTATATTTCCTGATTCAAAACACTTGCTTTACAAAACTGATGATCCTATAACTCTACCAGATTTTTTCTGTAATGGGGATATAACTTACCACAAAACCAAGAGCTACGAGGGGTTCACCTTCATTTAAATGATAGAGGAAAGAGCCTCCGTAAGTATGCCTGTCTAAGGGCCATCCAACTGTGTGATCCACTCTCCCAGGTTTCCACTTCTTTTCATCAATAATCCATAACTAAAAAACAAAAATTCAAAATGTTCCTACAGTATTAATTATAACAAAAACTATAATGTGCAACAAAAAACTACTTCATATATCAAAGAATTATATCAATTTGTAGCATATTTATTTATTTATTTATTTTTATGTGGTGCTAAGACTCGAACCCAGTGCCTCACACATGCTAGGCAAGCGCTCTACCACTGGGCCACAACCCCAGCCCGATTTGTAGCATGTTGAATCTAAGTAAAGAAATGAGTTGGAAAAATTATGAACCCTTTTGGGCTGGGGCTGTGGTTCAGTGGTAGAGCACTGGCCTGGCACACGTGAGGCCCTGGGTTCGATCCTCACCACCACATAAAAATAAAGGTATTGTGTCCAACTACAACTAAAAAATAAATAAATATTTAATAAAATTATGAATGCTTTTTAAGACATTAGAGTTTCAAACTGGCCAAACTTTTGTGTGATTATAGAAAACACCAGTGAAAGGATGAGGGAAACTTCTGGGGTGCTGGTAATGTTCTCTGTTTCTACCTACGTGACAAGTTATATGAATATGTTTACTGTGTTAAAATTATTGGGGCTGCACACTTGAGATCTGTTTATAATACATGAGCTATTCTCCGTATTTTTTTGGACTTAGATTTAATCTAGGGACGCTCAACCACTGAGTTATATCCCCAGCCCTTTTTATGTTTTTTATTTAGAGACAGGGTCTGGCTCAGTTGCTTAGGGCCTCACTAAGCTGCTGAATGAAGCTGGGTTTGAACCTATAATCCTCCTGCCTCAGCCTCCTGAGCCACTGGGATTATAGGTGTGTGCCATCCTGCCTGCTTCCTAATTAAATTTTAGACTGCAGATCAATATACTATGCCTGGTGTGTACTGTATAAATTTTAAATTATCTTCACGATACTTTTTTTTTTTTTAGTACAGGTGATTGAACCCAGGGGTGCTCTACCACTGAGTAACATCCTAGCCTAAAAAAAAAAAATTATATATATATATAATTTTTTTCCTCCCTCTCTCTCTCTCTCTCTCTCTCTCTCTCTCTCTATATATATATATATATATATATATATATGTAGTTGGACACAATACCTTTATTTTATTTAGTTTTATGTGGTCCTGAGTATTGAACCCAAGGCCTCGCATGTGCTAGGCGAGTGCTCTACCACTGAGCCACCACCTCCCCTCTCCATCTTTTTATTTTTTTTTTGAGATAGGGTCCTGAAGTTGCCAAAAGTTGGCTTCAGACTTTTGAAACTCCTGTCTCAGGCTCCCAAGTAGCTTGGATTATAGTTGTGCACTACTGTGCCTGGCTCACCTTACAATTTTGAATAAACACTTCTCTTTATAATGTGGCTATGCTACAACAGCATATGGATAACAGGTCTGATTCTACTAGGGCAGATGGTATTATTATGAAAAAAAATCAAGGTTTAAATATTTCCAAGACTCATTTGAGCATCACTTGATAAAACAATTTCAAAATGTTAAAATTTAGATAATAATTTCATCAGTAGTATTTTCTAGCCCTTTGAAAACTATCCCAAGTATTTTTAGTTTAATGAATGTTTCAAGTCAATGAAAAATACAAATAAATTTAATTGAAAATTAAGTTCTACATATCAAAATTAGAATTGTAAAAACAAATCAGGATACCTCCTTCAGTCCAATCCCATAGGTTTGGGGATCACAATTGGCCCTCAAATCAAATTTCTTGTATAGTTGCTTGGCTAGGTGTCCATGGCAACCTTCTGCAAAAACTGTGACTTTGGCATGTAGTTCTAGTCCCCGCTCAAATGTTGTCTAAAAAAGAAAATCATGTTAAATGACAATATAACATACACATTTCATTCAGTCTTAACTCAGGTATAGAAAAGACAATGCAAAAATATAATAGGATCAGAACTAAGAATACTGTTTAATATTATTATTATTTTTCTACTTAGTTGTACATGACAGCAGAATGCATTTCAATTCATGGTACAGAAATGGAGTGCAACATTTCAATTCTCTGGTTGTACACAATGTAGAGATGCATCATTCATGCAATCATACATGTAGGTAGGATAATGATGTCTATCTCTTTCCTACCCCCATAACCCCTCCCTCCCCTCCCCTTTGCCCAATCCAAAAATCCTCCATTCTTCCCATGTACCCCCCACCCCCGCCCCCAGCACAGATCAGCATCTACTAATCAGAGAAAACACCCAGCCTTTAGTTTTTTGAGATTGGCTTACTTAGCTTATCCTAATATTCTCCAACTCCATAAATTTACCTGCAAATGCCATAATTTTATTCACTTTTAATGCTGAGTAATATTCCATTGTGTATATACATTTATCCATTTATCTGTTGAGGGGCATCTAGGATGCTTCCACAGTTTAGCTATTATGATTCAGCTGCTATAAACACTGATGTGGCTATGTTACTACAGTATGCTGATTTGGGTATAGACTGAGGAGTGGGATAGCTGGGTCAAATGGTGGTTCCATTCCAAGTTTTCTGAGGAATCTCCACACTGCTTTTCAAAGTGGTTGCACCAATTTGTAATCCCAGCAGCAATGTATGAGTACACCTTCCCCGCGCCCCCAGATCCTCTCCAACACATTGCTTGTATTCTTGATAACTGCCAAAGAATACTGTTTTAAGTGGAATCTAATTTAAATTTTATATCTTGTGTCTTGTTTTTACAATAAAGAATGCTCATGCTAAAAAAAAATCCTCTACAAATGCATATAAAGTGGAAAGGTCATTTTCCAACTGTTTGTGATTTTCCAGTTTTAATACTAGCAGCAAAACCCACTTAAATAGCTTTCTTGTGAATCATTCCAGAAAATTACTATGAATAGAAAATTATAGAGAGCTTATTTATATCCTTTTATAGGATCAGGTTAAATTCTTCAGTTGATTTTTTTTCTTTTTTGCTGAACAATTTGTATGAAATGAAATGCTTTTTCCTACTATAAAATGAACTACAATGAGCATTTTTCTCGTTATGTATTTTGCATTTATGTCTGATACACAGTAAATGCTCTATTAATAAAGTTTTTGAACAAAATAAAAAATAATCAGGAAAAATCTCTTAGAAATGTATCTTAATGTTTTTCTATTCATATATTTGCATGAATATGTGTGCACAGATATAGTCATACAATTAAGAGGTTTAAAATGGCATAATTTACAATTATTTTCACATTATAAACTGATTTGCCTAAAGCAATATACATCAAATAAAGCACTTATCTTCAATATTTGAACAGATTCTCAAGTTTTCAACCAAATTCCAATAGTTGAACATTTAGGTTGTTTCAATGTTAATTACTGCTAGGATCAATACCCTAGGTTCTAAATATTTTCAGTCTCAGTGGTAAGAATTATTTCATCATTATCTTATTTTTGGTTACTTGAACATTTTTCATGTTTTTTGGTAACTTATTTTTCTTATGAAGTGTTTATTCAGGTGAAGTAAGAAAAGACAGACTGACTAGTGAATTGGCAAGCTAAGGTATATGACTCTTAACGAGTTGTTTCAGTAAAATGTCAGGGAGGAAAACCTGGGTTAAACAGAGAATGGTACAACAGAGGAAGCAGAGGAATCCTTGATTTTTTTTTCCACTTAAAAAACTTAGATTTTGAGTTCCAAACACTAAGAATCCATTACGTTCTTCTATGTTCTTTTAGGTTAATATGTTTTTTTAAGAGATGGGGTCGTCTTATGTTGCCCAAGCTAGTCTCCAACTCAGGGGCTCAAGTGATCCTCCTGCTTTGGCCTGCCACTATGTATACTACCAAACCCTGTTTCTATGCTTTCATATCTATATGAATACAATGTACAAAATATACTTTTATAAATATAAAGCACAGAACACAAACAAATTTTGAACAAATATGAGAACACAAAAAATGAAATATCAGAATGGTAGAATTTGTGTGAATTTTGTTGTGACATTAATGACTTATTTGATATTGATAAATTATTGTCATAATGTAGGAAAAATAACCAATTTTCTTTTGTTACTATAAGATAACAGTTGTCTGTTCACTTGGCAATGACTCGGAATTTCTGAGTGCATGTTTTAAGAAACAACTGCTTAGCCAGTTCTGGTGGTGCATGCCTGTAATCCCAGTGGCTCAGGATGCTGAGGCAGGAGGATCAAGAATTCAAAGTCTGCCTCAGCTATTTGGTGAGGCTCTAAGCAACTCTGTAAGACTCTGTCTCTAAATAAAATATAAAAAGGGCTGGTGATGTGGCTCAGTGGTTAAGCACCCCTGGGTTCAATCCCAGTACCAAAACAAAAAAACAAAACAAAACAACAACAACAACAAAAGAAACAGTTTCTTTACTGGGCATGATGGTACATGCCTATAATCCTAGTGACTTGGAAGGCTTAGACAGGAGGATTTCAAATTCAAGGCCAGCCTCAGCAAAAATGGGCTAGGGATATAGCTCAGTGGTAATGCATCTCTGGGTTCAGTCCCCAATATTAAACAAATCCCCAAAGCCCAGTTTCTTTATCTCTACTGAAGGACTTCCTGAACCCTAATACCTCAGATGATTCTGATGTAGCCATTTAAATTGCTATATAGGAGGACTCCTGAAATAGGTATAACTTACAAACTTTGCCATTTGCTTTCTCAGCAAGAAGTAATGAGAAGCATGAAGATCTACTGGAGCAAACTAGACAAAGTCCTAGTTTTAAAAGTGGTAGAAAGGGGTATAAACTATCCATAAACAAACATTTACTGAGACCTAATTATTTACCCGGCATGGTGCCAGGCATTAGATCATTTCATCTCTGTCCTCATGAAGCTTATGATCTAGGTGCGAAATCAGATAATAAAGCACAGATATGTAGTTAATTAGAATGTGAATTTGTGTTTTGCTCTAATTGGAAAGCAATGTACTTTTTTCTTGTCTTTTCCAATGAACCTTATAGGTAAGAACTCTATAAACTAATGGTTTTTCTTCCTCAGATTAAAAAACACAAATTGTGAAAATGTGAAAACCATTCAGCTGTACATTTTGAATGAGAGAAAGGCAACCAGTTTTATATCTACCAAAGGACTTGATGGTTAAAATCAGGTCAAAGTCTATCATTGTTCACCTACTGATAATAATATAAATGATTCTTATCCATAGGAATGAAAATTGTGGAGGTGGCAATGCAGGTGACTGATGACCTATATACACTTGTATGTGTTTTGAATTTTCATTGAACCGGTAGTGATATCTTATTGATTGCCTTATCAACTGAATGAAGTAAAAATTTTGAAATGGATTTTTTTTGTATATTTGCATGAATTATTGTATCTATTTAAAAATTATTCTTTTTTAAAAAGGAATCACTTTGTTTTTTAAATATTTTTTTTAATTGTTGATGGACTTTTATTTTATTTATATGTGGTGCTGAGAATTGAACCCAGTGCCTCATACATGCAAGGTAAGCACTCTACCACCGAGCTACAACCCCAGCCCTAAAAAGTTATTCTTAATTGTTGTATCTACTTGCATAAATCATGTGGAGCTCAAATTGCTTTTATATTTTTAAACAAATATTCCATACTAATAATTATATTCTAAAACTCACATAATTATGTGTGGTTGGAACAAGACCTAAATTACTGAGTTTGAGTGTGCTCTCTTTTTTTGTCAATTTGGCAGCCATGTTACTATTACCTTTGGTGCACCATCCTTTTGTATTCCCACATCATTAGTGGCAATTCCTTTTACACTACCATCCTCATGGAAAAGGATCTAAAATGACAAAAACAAATTTGTTATCACTTCAGGATTCATACTAACCTTGAAAAGGAAGAGTAAACAGCCTTCGATTTCTTAGAATGTGAACATGTTCTCTAGATTATAGAAACACAGGCTTTGAAATGTTAATGCAAAAAAGAGACATGCTTTTGAGGTACTCTCTTCTGGAGTACAAAACAACATGAGTCATACTGATGGAAATAACAGCAATGCCACAAGCCCGATGAGGAAGAAAAGGAGGAGGCAAAAAGAGGTTAGTAAAATAAACTGATAATATTAAAAAAGAGACTCTCTTCAGACATAAAATCATATGTAAAGAATATGAAATGAGAGGCTAATAACATGGATAGAGAAAGAAACTTTGAAGAAAGCCTAACTTCAATGAATTGGGACCCAAAAAACAAAAGGAGGATAAAAACTTCCCAGTGGTAATTATAGTTTATTTTCAGATCAAGAAGGAGGGAGGAAGACAGATCAAAAGTGTAATTCTGCAAATGAGAAACAGTATCACTCTATAATCCTTATATTGGTTCCATTACACATTTTGTACTTTTCTCTCCAAAGAGCATTTTTCTTTAGAGAGGAAACAAACGACAGATTATAAAGAAACGAGAGTAGAAAGGCAAAACAAGGGTTAATAGGAATGGATATGGGAAAAAATGAACTGAAGTCTAGTTTAGGGTATCAAAACAAAACTGGAAAATAGATCAATCTTCTGTTGGCAACAATCATTAAAGAACTGAGAAAAAGATATGGGGGGTGGAAACGAGGAAAAGAGGAGAAAGACAAGACATTCTCAGTGTGTGCATATAATCAAAAAATGAAAATCATAGGTTCTACAAATCACCTACCTGTGATTTTGACACTGATCCCAATCAAGAATGTCTAATAAGGAGAAATGTAAATCCCACACTGGGGTCCAAAAAACCAAATGCATATGTATCAGCTGGGAAAACAAATTTGTAACAACAGGTATAACAGGGATCTGTGTTTTATTTGACTTGTACACTGTAATGGTCAAAACAAATTTTTAAAATCTGAATTTTTCTCAGTACCAAAGAAAACTGCCCCATCCCTCACTTTTCTTTCAGCATTTCTTCTAGCCAAGCTCTAACTGCAAATGCTTAATCTGTCCCAGATATATGGGAGTCTTTTTAAAAAATCTAAATAAACACAATGACAGTTTTACATTCCAAGGATGTCTCCTTGGGGCTTTGGAGTTGTCACTCTGAAATGTGAACATCAAGGAGAATGCTATCAGGTCTTTCTGTCTCTGTGGGAATTTGGGTTGCCTGAATCCAAGTAATGTGCTGCTTATCAAAAGAACACAACTTTTATTCTTCCTTTCAATAATGACAATTATTGTATATTTTGTAACAGATTGTATCTAGTTTGCTGCTTTAGAAGGAAGAGATTTCTTGACATTCTTTGCAGTCTTGGTTTAATGTTCATTCAATAATAAAGCTATTTTTTATTTTAAACAATTTGTGGAGAGGATTCTTCTGGGTTGGCAGAAGATTTTAATAATTTTCCCAATAACATATAATGAGGATCAACAGTTTGATGTAGTTGCCAAGAAAATTACTTTCAGGGAACAGAAGTTTCTAGTATGAAGAAGATTACAGTCCTGTTCTATATTAGACTTGAAGTAATTTATTCTGGGTGAAGTATAATGGGGGATAAAATGATATAAAGTCAATTATTAAGGGGATAAAAAGGAACATGTTCTGAAGACAGCAACGAGAATACTCAAGGAACTCAAATTACATCATGTGATGACTGAAAAGAATATTTAGTCTTAGAAAGAAAAAACTCCATAGTAAAGGTGAGCCAGGAGACAGCAAGGCATAAATATAATTGGAAAGTTGTCCTTGAAAGGGTATATGTATTTGTTCTGTATAGCATAAAATAGTATTTTCTGTTCAATATAAGGGAGCGGTTACTGTTAGTCTACATAGCCAGAAGAGTATTTTTCATTCCTTATGGTGTTTAATCAGAAATTGGAAATCACTTGATGAGGGTACAATACAAGGAATTCAAGTACTTTCAGATTTGATCTTTTTAAGGTTCCTCAATCTTATAATTGTTAATTCATATGCCATTTCTAAAATATATCTTCACCTCTGTAAAATTATTGGTTTATTTACAGAAGAAAAATAAACTGTTTCCTACAAACATTAAAAACAAGACTATACAAACCTCGGCAGCAGCATACCCTGGATACACTTCAACACCAAGGGCCTCTGCTTGTTCTCCCATCCAACTCACTAAATGTCCCAAGCGTACAATGTAATTGCCATGATTGTTCATTGGAAGACCTACAAATACATGCTTAATTTGTAAATCTGACTTTTTTGTTAATAAACATCTTAAAAATATACTTTTTAATTTAATAATTAAATATACTTTTTAATTCTAATCAACTTGTACTTCTGCATATATGCATATATGTATACATTATCTTGATGGTCATAATTTCAATACTTTTTATAATTTTGATTTAATTTAGTTCTAATTTACTAAATTAAAAACATTAAATTAAAAATTCCTGGTTGGCTTCTAATGCTATCATGATTTTTCCAGACTGGAAGTCAAAAGAACTGGGTTTTACTCCTGCTTTCCCACCAGTTAGTTGTATATCTTTGGCTAAATATTTCAAATCTCTGAATATCGGTTTTCTCATCTGCAAAGGAAGGAATTTCTCTAAATGAAATGTACTTCCTTTCAGGTGTGGAATTTCACTGTTCTAGAACTATTTTCTACCTGGAAGAATTGGCACAGGAATTCTGTATTTCTCTGTTAAAATCCCAAATCTGTCTTCTGTTACAGGAGTGTTAAGTGGAGCCTAGAAACAAAAGAAAGAAAACTTTTTAGTTTTAATTTGTAAGAGCAAAAAAACCCCAACAAAAACAAAACAACAAAACCCCCACAAAAAACCAACTACCTTTTGAATTTAGTTGACACAATATGGAAAGGGAATCCCCTCCCTCATCTTCCTTTCAGGCTTTCCTTTGAAAATCTTTTAACTGCAAATCCTTTTTCTGTCTTTTTGAGTGGATGGGCATCTTTTTAAAAACAAAATAAGTCTCTTTCCAGTTTTGCATCCCAGAAACCCCTTTCTTGGGGGTCTGGGAAACATCTTTGCAATGTGAACATTATGTTTCCCTGTCCCTATAGGAGTCTGGCCTAGATGCTTGACTCCAAGTTGAAATTTCTTGCTTTTTGAAAAAAAAAATTAGAAAAGTTTTATTTTTCCTTTGGATAAAAGCAATTAACATACATACAATGAATTTCATCTCCATATATGTATGTGTTTGTGTTATGTACATACATGTGTGTATGTGTATGTACCAAAGCAATAAAGGGGTCTGACACAAAAAATGTTTTCCATCAGAACTGATATCATGCTGATAATCATTCAATGATATTTCTACTATAATACTGACCAAATATTTAATTTAGCAAAATTACTTTTATTTTCAAAAGTACAATCTTTTGTAAAGGAGAGCAAACTGAAATTTACTCCATATAAAAAGAATACAGATGATATTTACACGCTTTTTTGATTTTTGTTTTGTTTTTGTGTTGCTGGGGATCAAACCCAGGGCCTCATACATGCTAGTTAAGTTTTCTACCACTAACTTACATCCCCAGCCCAATATTTATAAACTTTTTTGTCCTTCAGCCAGAGTATTAAAAGACACTGAATATTCTAACCCTAGAACAGGATAGGCATTAAAAAACTGAGACTGTAAGATTTTAATAAAGTTCATAGAAATTTTATTTGAAAGTAAAACTAGCTCTTGGTCCTCTGCATATCACACCTGTAGCTTTTTTTGGTGAGTCATGAGAGGACACAGCAACTAATTTCTTTAGAAAATTACATTATCCTCTTTGGCTTTAGATATAACATTGTTCTAGAAAATTTTACATAATGCTTTAAGAACAATAATACAAATATCTATAGAAACAAGTTAAAAAATAAAAACAAAAAAGCACAAATACTCATGGATCTTTCTCAAATCATGCCTTCCCATAAGTCCAGTACATAAATATAATATGTAGAAGGCATTATATAAAAATAAGAGTAAAAAATCTTTTTTTTTTTTTTTTTGGTACTGGGGATTGAACTCAGGGGCACCCAACCACTGAGCCACATCCCCAGCCCTATTTTGTATTTTATTTAGAGACAAGAGTCTCACTGAGTTGCTTAGCACCTCACTTTTGCTGAGGCTGGCTTTGAACTCGTGATCCTCCTGCCTCAGCCTCCCAAGCTGCTGGGATTATAGGTGTGCACCACATCACCCAGTGAGCCAATATATTATAATTCTGATAAGAGCCAACATGTTTGCAATTTTCAAATTTAAACATCTATACATATGTATACAATTACCCCCTAAAAGAATTACATGATAAGGGTTCTTCTATTCCAGTAATTTGGAAAAAGAGATACAGTATAGACTCTATAAAAGAAGCAATTTTTCATACCCCCCTTTCCTTCCAGTCTGGGAAGAGTTCCTGAAAAGCACACGGATCAAGGCAAGCCCCTGAGAGGGTATGAGCGCCTATCTGAGCAGCTTTCTCCACTAGACACACACGGATGTCCTTTTCATGTTCAGCAGCCAACTGCTTTAAACGAATAGCTGCAGAGAGCCCTGCAGGGCCGGCACCAACTATTACCACATCCGCTTCTTCTGCAAATCTTTCCATGTTCACTCCTGTTAAAAAATAAATATTAAGATTAATATGACCTAATAATCACAAGAAATTACATGCTGGTATACAAACTACCTGCTATGCTTTAGTGTTACTTATAGAAATTCCCTCTGTTTTGCATAAAGATACTACATATATTATTGTATAAGTTTGATGCTCTCTTAGGTTCTATCCCAGCGCATATCTTATGTTAGCTTCCATAAAGCAACTTTTGACTTTGAGATTATCATAAATTTATTAAATATTTACTTATCTATGTAGTAATATATAACATACTTGGTAAAGCCATAAAATATTATTAGATGATTTTAAATTATCATGAAAAATAAAATATTCCTCTCCACAAAATGATATAAAGTATCTAGAAAAGTTTCAACAATTTTACACAAATTATTACTTACCTTCCCATCGCTTGTCTTTATCCCGGGGATAAATTGTATAGTGGGTAGTGATTTGAGGTACAACAGAAGTTGAAGACCATCTTGTAGCACAGAGAGGTAGATAATTTTTCTTAATTTTTAAGGCATGAAAGCAATGATAGGCTGTATGAAAATTATGAACATTATTTTATTTTTAAAAATTAGTTCTTGTTAGGAGTAAACTGAAAAAACATAAACTGAATGACTTTTTTTTTTTATCATTATTGTTTGTTTTGGTACTGGGGATTGAACCCAGGGGTAACTAAACCACATCCCCAAACTTTTTTTTTCAATGTTTTATTTTGAGACAGATTCTCCCTAAGTTGTTCAGGGGATTGCTAAATTGCTGAGGCTGGCCTTGAACTTGCAATTCCCCTGTCTCAGCCTCCAGAGCCACTGTTGGGATTCCAGGCATGTGACACTGATCCCCGCTTGAATGGCTTCTTAAAAAATGATTCAAATGTGAGCAGATTCTATTCTTTCTTAGATAGGCAATTCAGTTAGCATTTGGTCACAAAGTTTGTGAATTTTAGATATTTAAAAACTATCTAATAAACAAGAGAAGGGACAGAATAATGAACAAATAAAAAGAGTTCAGAAGTAGAATACACAAAAGGATGTGGTATACGATAAAGATGCTATTCCAAATCATGAGGAGATAGTCACTTATTAGAGGTACAAAAATAGATGACAGCCATTTGGAAAAATGTATATCCTATTCTTTATGCCAAATAAATTCCCTTTCAACAAAGATTTTGACAGAAATATCACAGTATAAAAAATTGAGATATGCCCATAAAATCTTTAATTTTCCTCCCTTTGAATGTGAATTGGACTTACAGAATAGTTTCTAGCAAGAAAGAATACTAAAAGAGAAAAATATCACCTTTACAGTAGAGAAATATGACTTTAACCAAGTGATCAAGTTTAAATATCACCAGCAAGACCTATTGGTATCATACATCAATATGTTGCAATGAAAAGGATTCTTCATTTCTATAAAATACATGCTCAAAATCTTATCTCTTTGTAATCAAGATAAATCACAAGACAAACTCAGATTGAGAGACATTCTACAAAATACCTGACAAATATACATAAAAGTCTCAAGGTCATGAAAGATAAGAATTAATATAGGAACTGTCACAATTAAGTAGACCAAGTAAAAGCAAGGTGGTGCTCTGGACTGAATACTGGAACAGAAAAAGGAACTTTGAATAAAGTTTGTAGTTAATTAGTAGTATTTAATTAATGTTAATTTCTCAGTTTTGATAATTATTCTATGGTTATGTAAGACATTAAGCTTAGCAAAGGGTATATGGGAACTCTGTATTATCTTAGCAACTCATCTAAGTTAAAAATTATTTTGAAATAAAAAGTTAAAAGATTATGGTAGTATAAAAATTAACTCAAAAAGAAGTTCAAATATAAGAGTTAAAACTATAAAATATTAGTGTAAATCATTGATATGACAACCAAAAGCACAAACAAAAGAAAAAAAATAATTAAACTACATTTCATCAAAATGAAAAACTTTTGTGCTTCTATAAGGATACCATTAAGAAAGTGAAAAGTGGCCTGGGGTTGTGGCTGTGGTAGAGCACTTGCCTAGCATGTGTGAGGCACTAGGTTTGATCTTCAGCACCACATTAAAAAAATAAATAAATAAAGTTATTATGCCATCTACATGTAAAAATATTTTTAAAAAAAGAAAACGAAAAGATAATCCATACAAGGGAGAGCATAATTGTAAATCATATATGTGATAAGAGACTTGTATATAGAATATCTTCAATCTATACAAAGAAATCTTATATCTAATAACAAAAAGACACATAAACCAATTAAAAAGTGGGCAAAGGATTTGAATAGATGTTTTCCCAAAGAAACACATTAAAAGATGCTCAACATCATTGAACATAGGGAAATGCAAATCAAAACCACGAAATACCACTTTACATCCACTAGGATGGTTATATTCAAGAAGACAGTACTGGCAAGGATGTGGAAATATTGAAAACCTCATATACTGCTAGTGGGAATATAAAATGGTACAACTTTTTGGGAAACAGGTTAAACAGGGTTTTCAAAGATAAATGAAAACATGTCCACACAAAAACTTGTACATAAATGTTTATAGCCACAAAGTGGAAAAAACCCAAATGTAAACTAGTAAATGGATAGTGATGTACTCATACAATTAAATAATACTCAGCAATAAAAACGAAAAATTGATAGTACTGATAGATGCTACAACATGGATAAGCCTTGTGAATAACACTGCAAAATGGAAGAAGCCAGCCACAAAAATACAAAAGTGAAGTCTATCTCCTAAGTGTTTGAATTTATTAATAGCAATGATGTTTTTAGCAAGTTACTTCTCCTTATCCATTTACTATGAGGTTTATAGTCAATCTATGAAGGATCTAGAATATGTCTTACACAAAGCAAGTTTTAAATACCTATTCGTTAATTGAATAGGTGCCTTCCTAGTTAACAACTGTTATAGAGAAGCCTTCAAATCTCTGTTTAATTTCTGGTATAATAACAATAAGGCCTTTCCTAACTTTTAAAGTGTCACTACTATGAAGCATCTATCTACAAATGAATAAACTTCTAAAAATGTGTTGTAAACAGTAAATAGCAAAGATCAACAAAATAATTTCAGTGGATTTGGACTGTATAATTTACTCTTTTGTGGACATACTGATGGCTAAGAATTTTATCCTTTCATCACTTTATGAGATATATGAGGCAGCTACAATCCCCATTTACAGAAGATACAAATAAATTCAAACGCAATCTCAATTTTAACAGTCTGTCAAGTTATGAGACTATTAATCAACTTGAAATTATCTCTGAAGTCACTGAATTTGAGGCTATGGTAAAACTGTTTTCTTTCCAATTAACTGAAGATGACATGTTTGAATAAAGATCAGCCTGGCAAATGCTAATTATTTTTATTTAGTACCCAATTGCAAGGTGAATGTATCCTCCCCACCTTCGTGTACTGGGGATTAAAATCAAGGGTGTTCTACTACCAAGCTACATCCCCAGTCCTGAATTCTTCCAGGGGATCTTAAAAAAAAAAAAAAAGTCACAGCCTTTTCTGAAAACAAAAGAGATCTCTTACTTGAGAGATTTCAACAGTTAGGCACTGTGAATCTTGGTAAAGAAGTCACAAAGTCCACTGAACCCATAACACCATCATATCACTTACACTGATTTGGACACTGCAGAACACTGGAGTTCCAACTCTTTGCTCACACTAGTGCTAACACCAGGTTAGGAAAATGGCAATGAGCAAGTATTTAAAGAAAAAAGAGTTACTGGGCCAAGACTGAATGCACCTGAATTAGGCTATAGAGTAGATAGCATCTGACATTACCAATGGTCAACAAAACAAAGAATATCCATGCATTAGGTGCCCAATAGATTCATGGGTAACAGAAACTTTATAAGGGGACCAAATTTAACAAAATTCTACTTTCATGAAATTTAATACGAACATCTTGAATTTTAAACATTTATTCTTGTTCAAGGATTATTCTATAACCAAAACTTCGTTTAAAATATATAGCAAGTTTTAACTTGGAATTTAAGGTCTTCTAAACTTTGTTTGAATTAAAAAAACACATACTGTTTTAAAGTAAAACTTTATAAAAACGTGTAACAGCGTCAAGGTGCACCCATAACGATAAGCCTCTAGTTAATTTTAGATAATGCAGAAAAATTCCTAACTCCAGATATAATTTGTGACTTGGGCAGCATATGAATGTTAATCACGATGTGACAGATCAGACTTCAAATTCTTAAGACTGGACTAGGATGACTGCAAGACGAGTCAGGTCAGGACCAAGAAGAAAAACTGTGTAAATATTATTTTTTCCCACTCTTAACAAGGCAACATACAGCACCTGAGCTTTGGGATGTGCATTAGGACCAAGATTTGGGAACACTCGATTCAGAAGTCCACTGAGGGGGCCGTGTTGACAACTTTCCTCTGCCCATGACCTTTAACCTAGTTATGAATTCTTCCAATTGTGGCAACCCCAAGGGGAGGAAGCCAGGGTCCCATTTCCAGAGGCAGACAGCGTCCACCTCTGCCCCAGTCTAGCCTGAGAAAATAGACGAGAGGTGGGACGGGAGGGGTGTCTACAGCCCCGAGGCGTGGGCTAGTCTGTTTCGCCCAAACTCCTTCACCTTCCTCTACTGGTCCCCACCAGGAGTTCCCTCTCACCCGGGCAGGACAGCTTGGCTAGCCGCACCAACATGTTCAAAATAATCAGGACTTTCTCTGTCGGACACCACGGAAGAACTTGTCTGAGGCTCGCGGAGGGCGCTGGACCTCTATGCCACGGGGGGCGCCATCATCTGCCAGGTTACACCTACTCTCCGGCTGAAGTTTGCCTTTCGGATCCACCGACCGCCCTTGCTTCGCGGCGTCCCCGCCTCCCTCCCTCTCTGCGCGGGCGCCACGCATGACGCGACAGCAAAAACAGGTTTCCGGGTCAAGTAGCAAAAGAGAAAGAGACTTCAAGTCCCAGGCGCCCTGCGGCTTCAGGTTGAGGATTGAGCCTGCGCTTCCTCCTGACCCACGCACCAGTAGGCCGAAGGTCTAGCTCTAAAGCCGAATTGGGGCGGGAGAGTCGCGCAAGGTACCCCGAAAACGCATGCGCACGAGCAGTAAGAGGCAGCTGGAGTCGGGAGACGCGCACAGCACCCTGGGAGTTGTAGTCTTCTGCTCCGACAGAACTGGAGGCCCAACAGGAGGTTTGCGCAGGAGCGGTGAGCCGCCCAAGGTGACTTGACTGACGTCTGATTGGCTGTCGCGAAAAACGAAAAGTCTTTGTGGTCTTGGACTGAGATCCACGAGAGGACGGGGCGGGACTTCGGGGGGGAGGAGGCGGAGCCTCTGGGCTTTGGGCGCGAGCGATTGAAAGACTGTTGGTGTCGGTTCTGCTGTTTAGGCCCGGCTCTGCGGTCCCAGCCTTTTCCCATGGCTGACCCTGAGGAGTTTCGTGTGTCTTCGCCTCCCCCACCGCCTCCCTCCTCTCCTTCTTCTTCCGACGTTTCTTCAGCATCTTCCCCCGGTGTCCGAACGAGTTTGGGCTGGCGGGATTCGAGCAGGAGCAGTGGCCGAACCGTGGACCCGCTGGAGGAAGTGGAGCTGCAGATAGGAGATGTGAGTGTCGCGTCGCTCTATGAGTCTGGGACCACGTCCCCCTTGGGGATTCTCTTAAGATAGACCCTACGGAGCCCGGGAGGCAGAGGGAGCCCTACACCAGCTCCCACATCCGAAGGGTGGGCGATGCCAACGGCTGAAGTGCCAGCCCATGCAGAAATTCTGCCTTTAGATTTCGAGTCGAGGAATTAAGGAGCTGTCTCTCCACTGCCCCACCCCTGTTGTCTTTTTGCTTCGACTTCTGGTTTCAATCATCTGCTGTAACCCGAAACCCTGCATCTCCTCTGCGCTTGTTGGTGCCAGATCTTTCTGCCCGCTCTTCTCCCACTTTTGAATGCGCGATCCGGTAGCCTTGCTGCCTGTTGGTGATTTGGACCCAGCTGTGATTTCTTTCTGTTCTACTTGGCCATCTGCCCAGAGCCAGCTGGTAATGCTATTGTCTCCCAGGCTTGCTTTGCGCTGGACCCATCTGGGAGGGCTTAGTCACAGCCCCTGACTTCTCTGTCGGTTTCTTTTAACTGTTTAGTACAGGCCTTCTCCCTATGAATGCTAGAATGCATAGTCTGGAAGATTTCTATTAAATCTCCGATTTTCAGAAACTAGCACCTAGCCTCCCAACCTTATCACATATATACCACTGGAGCCCAGTGGTGGGGGTCACAAATTCCGTATTTATGGACGCTTGAGTGGGGCAAGTGGAATGATCTTCCTGGGGTAACTTGTGGAATAGACCTTCCTGTGCACATTGGAAACTGGGGACTGAACTCGACAAATTCTTTTCCTTCCTTCCTTCTTTCTGTCTCTTTCTCTCTCTCCCTTCCTCCCTCCCCCCTCTCCCCCTCCCTCCCTTGATGAATCAGGATCTATTTTTACAGAATAAGACTGGTTACAAGTAAATATGTAAAATTAATTCCTGGTGTGTTATCTGGGAACAGTGTTTGGTTAGGTTCCCTGAAAGAGTTAGCATTTTAATTTGAAAATCTATTACTTTTAAAGAAAATAATTTGGGCATTGGGTTTAAAGTATTGAGGGAATTTAACTTAGACTATAAAATGAGATGAGAATTTTAAAAATAATTTTTTTTTTTAAAATTTCAGGCAGCTTTTTCTCTAACCAAACTTCTCGAAGCCACATCTGCAGTATCAGCTCAAGTGGAAGAGCTTGCCCTCAAATGTACAGAAAATGCACGTTTCCTTAAAACCTGGCGGGACCTCCTGAAAGAAGGCTATGATTCTTTGAAACCTGACAACTGATTTGGCCTGCTTAGCTAGCTGTTCCAGCAATGGACTGTGTAACATACTTCTTAACATACGATTTTTGCACATGTACTGCATACATAGGATGATCTGTTTCCAGCAGTTCTGTATACTCAAAAGAACTTTTTCTTGACTTTTATGAAAGCAGAATACTGATATTTTTGATGCAGACCAGTATTTGTTTATTCTTAAATACTTTCTGCCATCTAAACGTTTGTAGAATCCTTTGTGGAAGTTAATTCCATCAGTAGATAATGTTAATAGTGCCACAGGACTACCAGTAGCATACTACACAGAACATTATTTAAAAGAAGATGCAAGAATAGTAGAATTTGAAGTTGAGCTTCAATTTATGGCCCAAAGGAGGTAACTAAGGTTTCTAATGATGAGTCTACCTCCATTAGGGTAAATTCTCCAAAACCAGTGACTAAGTCTTGCTTTTATATCCTCAGCACCTGAAACAGTGTCACACAATATTTGCTAAATGCTTGTTGAATAAAAGACTTGAGAAACATAACTAAAAGCTTTTTTTCCTTCATGTTTTTAGCATGAATTGTAATTGTCTTTCAAAAATGTATGAATCTGAACTTCATTGACTTGAAGGAAAACATTGTTTTTTAAATGGGGATTTGAACTTTGATGATAGTTTCTTAAAATATAATTTTTTTTTGCCTTTCTAAGATGCTTTTTAAAAAAGGATGTCTGAAATGAAAGCACGTCTGGAAAGAATGCATGTTTTTGCCCTATTTGTGGTTAATTGCTTTTATCATTAATATTTCTTGTATTTTACGTTTTGAATGTTTGAGTACTATCTTAAAAATATCTTATCAAATTTTTGACTCAGTACTATTACTGAGTTGCAAGTTACTTACATAATAATTCTAAAGAAATTGCTCTGTTTCCAGTATATCAAATTTAAATGAAGTAATTGTTTTCATATTATTTGATCTCAGTGACAATGTTCTATTTTATGTGTCTTGTATCTTATATTGCTTTTTGGTGGTTTGTGTCGTGTGTGAACAACTAAGCTAGCTCTAATGCTCTACTATATATAATTTTTAAACATATTTGATGTGGTGTCTTGATTCTTTGTAGATATGGAGATGTGTACAGAAGTATATTCTTAAAGCCCCATAGTGGGGGTGATACAAGGGGACATATGGATGGGCAAAGAATAGTTTTGTTTAGCATATTAGGTCATAGTTCTTGATTAATTATTTTAGTTAAAGCTCACACATGTTGTGTGATTTTTATACCAAAGAGATGCTTACTTCAGTATTATAAAAATATTTTTCTTATATATTCTGAAAGTTGCAATTTTTAAAATGTCTAAAAATAAACTTATTAAAAGCAAATATTGTTTCCATTTCTTTGGGCTTATTATTTTAAAGTTTTTGATATATTGCAAATAGGACAAATGATCGATTAAAAGAATCAGTGTATTCCACACTAGGGTTGTATATCAGTGGTAGAACACCTGCCTCTCAGGAGTGAGGCCCTGGGTTCGATCCTCAGCACCATATAAAAATAAAAATAAAAATATTGTGTCCATCTACAACTTAAAAAGAGAATCCATCTTCAGCTTAAAAAAAAGAGAATCAGTATATTCCTACAATGAAGATTTTATAAATAGCATTTTCGTATTTTATTCAGATTTGTGTGTGTGTGTGTGTGTGTGTGTGTAAATGTTAATTTCAGATATATTGAAAGCCTACTTTGTTACCTCTTTGATCTTGTTCCCTCCTTTCTTCCCTAAACGTAACTACTGTCTTAGAGATGGTGTATATTCTAGTTTGTGTGTTCATATTTTTAGTACACAGGTATTTTTTGAAGCACTACAAACTATTGTTTTATGTATTTGTATTTGGTAGCTGGCCTGCAGATGGCCCTAGTGGTCCCTTGCCTGCTGCTATCCATGTCCCTGGGCACCACTCAGTAGTGCTGATGTGTGTAACCACCAGAATATCATGAAAATGCAGTGAATGATTTCTCAGACCCTTTTTTTGTCCTTTTTCTATTTTTGTCTTTGATCTGTTAGGTATATTTCAACCACCTTATCTAGACTGGTTTGTCTTTATTTTGATTATGGAGTCTCCTTGACTAATGGTTTTTATTTTTAATGTACTCTTACAAATCTTTCATAGTAGTTCTGTATTTTTTTTTAATAGGAAATGTCATTAAGATATCCTATTAGTCCTAATAATTAAAAAATATATATTTAGGTGTTTAATCCAACTGCAATTTTTTTCTTATTGTATGATTTTAGAATCTTTTTTATTTTTGCATGTGTATAGCTGTTCCTCCAAGTACTCTTGTTTTAGTGCAACATCTGTTGTTCACTTACCATATAAAAGTGCCAGTTCTGAGCTCCCTATTCTTTTCTTTTGATCTATTTGCTTACGAACCCCCAGCCAAGTCTCTATGCAAATTTCCCTTGTTTTAGCTGTACCATAAATGTGATTTGTATGTATTTCCCCGCATCACAGTTTTTTTAAGTTAAAAAAGAAAAAAAAAATGTTACTGATTTCTAATTGTTTTGAGTTGCAGTCATTTTAGGTTAATTCCTCCTAAGGATTTTATAACAAGCGTTCTGTGGGTGTTTTTTGTTAATTCCTTAGCTGTAAACTTAAAGCTGCTGGTGTTTGGAATCCAGTAGCCCACAGTTTAGCTTTGCTTACATTGGTATTACCATGTGTGGTGCACAGAGAAGTTCATTTTTGTTTGGTATGGGGTCTTCCACCAGGGATCAAGCAATTCTGCTTCAGCCTCTCAAGTGCTCAAACTATAAGCATGCACCACCATGTCTAGACTGTGATGATGGTTAATTTTATAATGTAAATTTAACTGGTCCACAGGTGTCCAGATATATGGTCCAACACAGCATTCTGGGATTTTCTTTTTTTTTTTTTTTGGATGAGGTTAATTTTTAAATTTATAGAATGAGCAAAGTAGAGAACGTTCTGTAATATAGGTGGCCTCAACCAATCACTGAATGTCTGACTAGAACAAAGGGTTGACTCTCTTTCTAGCAAAAGGGAATTTTGCCTGACATCCATTGAACTGGGAATTGGCTCTTCCTGGTTCTACAACAATCTGCCATCCTTCAGACTTGAACTGGGTCATCAGCCACCCAAATCATAGGAGTCATTTCCTTGTAATTCTTTCAAATACACACAATTTAGATGCATATACATATATATTTTTTCCTACAGAGAACTTAGTAATATACTATTCAAAAATAAAATGGTCGTATTTGTATAACATTCAATTTTTTCCTGAGATGACTTTATTTTTGAGAACTCTAAAAACCTATAAGAATCACCTGATTAAATTAGAGCTTAAGATACAAAGACTTGTTAAAGATATTTGCAAATATCCCCATGAGACATGATGGTCCAAAGTAGGTATTGGAAATTGGGATAGACAAGTGTAAAGATTTAGGTGTTTTGCAAGGTTGCCCAGGCAGCCTTCAAATCTGTGATCCTCCTGTCTCAGCCTCCTGAACCACTGGGATTACAGGCATGCACTACCATGCCTGGTCCAAAATTATCTTTTTGAGAAAACCTTGACCTGTATTTGAATTAACTTGCTGCTTCTATTGCACTTCCTATGGAAGTTAGTAGAAGCTAGTTATGTGGAACCTTAGTAATTACTTATCAAGTTAAATTAAATGTAAGTTACTCTGGGGAGGGGGAAGGGTGACATCCAGAAAATCCTCTAAAACATTTTAAATATAAAAAGTTTCAGATGAATATTTTTGTAAATCCTCTGCATTTCTAAGACACTTAAACAGGTTAGGATCATGATTTTTTTAGGATTAAATTTTTTTCTACCTTTTTTTAAAACCTTTTTTTCATGATTATTGCTTTTCTTTCATTTTAGGATTTTGTGTGTGTGTGTGTGTGTGTGTGTGTGTGTGTGCGCTCGCGCGCGCTCTACATCTCCAGTCCTAGATATTAAAAAAATTCTTTTCTATGATTTAGAACTTTTCTATTATTTAGAAGTTCTATTTAGAAGTTAGAACTACTAAATAATGAATAATGAATAATCCTAAAATAATCTTATAAAAGAATGCAAATGTGTTCATTTGTGGAGATTTTATTATTTTTTGTAGGCTATTTTAATATTTATTATAATTAAAATACTAGTAGTTATATTATTTAATGGTACAAGCAGAACTATAGCTTTATGTGTTCTGATTTTTGTTGAAAGTGTCTCACATTTTTCGTATAGAAAATTTACTGTGATCATTCTGAGATAAGAATTTGGGGATACAAAAAAGGGAGAAATACTGAATCTCAAAGTAAGGGCCCACAAACCATTGAAAATGCAGAAAACATCCTTGAACAGTTGCGATTCCTGAGCAATCCAACCCTTGCCCTTGACCCAAGAGATGGCCTGCAAAAAGTAACTGGGGCAATGCCAAGTGCAGGGAAAACAAGTGAGATATTGTGTAACTTGGCCATGACTCCTCCTTTAGTCCAACCCCTAGCAACTGTCCCTCTATAAATATTAACATGATATACTGACAGTTTGCTGTTTCTCCTTATTGAGATGGTTCATATTCTGCTTTGAATGTGTATTTCTTGATTTACCTCCAAAAATTCTTACTCTTACGATAGCCCACATTATGCCTTGAAAGTGCCTCTGCTTTCCTAAATAAATCTCTATGTCTCTGGCACATGCTGAAATTCACATTTTTTTGTGTGTTTTTTGGTACTGGGGATTGAACCTAGGGACGCTTTACCAGTGAGCTACATCCCTGCCCTTTTTATTTTTTAAATTTAAAAAAATTTAAAATTTTTAATCAACATCTTGCTGAATTGCTTAGGGCCTCATTAAATTGTCCTCAAACTTTTAATCCTCCTGCCTCAGTCTCCAGAGTTGCTGGGATTATAGGTGTGTGCCCCCTGGCTACGTGCTGAAATTCTTCCTAGAACGAATGCCAAGGACCCCACTATCTTGAGTGGAGTTTCCCCTTCTCTCCAGAAATTCCTCAGATTTTCCCTCACAAATATCTCTTCTCCCGTGACAATTCCAAGTACAAACAGTAGGAACTCCAAAGTAATCCACGTTTTTAGGTAGTTTATTTTCAAAATGAGTCTATACAATTATATATTCAATAAATGCAAATATTTTTATTTCCCATATTTTTATGTTTCAATCATTTTTGCTGTATTTAAAACTACATGAACACTCCAACTTGTTTAAAGGTTTCAAATTATGAAAACAAGAAATTCTAATAGACCAATTAGAGACCACAGAAGAACAAGTAGCTAAAAAGTTATATCTTATGAACTGGTTGTGCAAATAGAAGGTAAAGCTATCTTTTGATGACAACTATTTGCTCCTTGGTATGAAACATCTAAGTGCAAACCTTTCCTGAAGTTAGGTTGGTTCCTGAATCAGTGCATTCTAGCTCTTTTTTTTCTTTGAACTGCTCTACTGAGACATAATTCACATACCCATAAAATTTACCCATCCAAAGGATACAATCCAATGGCTTTTAGCATAATTGCAAAATCATTTATCCATCTTCACAATTTTAGAACTTTTTTTTAATATCCAGGAAGATATCCTGCAATTCTTAGCACATTCTCAATCCCCACCCATCCCTTAGCAATCTCTAATCTACTTTCTGTCTCTTATGAATTCGCTTATTCTAGATTTTTCAAGTAAGTGGAATCATACTGTACTTGTTGTACTTGTCCTTTTATATCCAGCTTATATTCTTCATGTTATAGCATGTATCAGAACTTCATTTCTTTTAATGGCTGAATGATATTCCATTGTATGTATATATACTACATTTCGTTTAACCGTTCATTGATTGATAGGCACTTGAGTTGTTTCCATCATATGACTAGTATTAGTAATGCTGCAATTAATATTTGCATGAAAGTATATAGTTGAGTCCTCTTTTAATTTTTTGGGGAGGTTTGTATCTAAGAATGAAACTTCTGGATTATGGTAATTTTTAAAAAAATATTTATTTTTTAGTTTTAGATGGACAAAATACCTTTATTTTACATTCATATGGTTCTGAGGATCGAACCCAGTGCCTCATGCATGCTAGGTGAGCACTCTACCACTGAGCCACAACCCCAGCCCCTGAGTTATGGTAATTTTATTTTTAAATGTTTTTGAGGAGTTGCCAAACTTTTCCATGCGGGCTGCACCATTTAAATTTTCTACATGCCTCTCCAACACTTACTTATTTTTTTTATTGATTGATAACTATCCATTCTAGTAGGTGTGAAGTGTTTTCTCATTGTGGTTTTAATTTGCATTACCCTGATAATTAGTGATGTTGAACATCTTTTCATGTGCTTATTGACCAGTTTTATATTTCTATGGAGAAATGTTTATTATAATCTACTGCTCATTTAAAAATTTTCATTGTTGTATAAGTTGTAAGAATTTTTCATGTATTCTGGATATTAAGCTCTTTTCAGATATATAATGCTCAATATTTTCTTTTATCTTGGAAGGTTGTCTTTTCACTTTTGATAACCTTTGATGCACAGCAAATTTTAAAGTGGATGAAATTCAAATTATTTTCTTCTTTTGTTGTTCATGCTTTTGTTGTCGTATATTTAAGGATCCTTTGCTGAATCCGAAGTCTTCAAGATTTACCCCTATGTTTTCTTGTAAGAATTTTTATGGCGTTAGCTCTTACATTTAGGTTTCTGATTCATTTTGAATTGCTTTATATATATTTTGTGAAGTTTGGGTCCAACTTTATTCTTTGGCATGTGAATATCCAGCCAGTACACCATCTTTTGTTGAAAAGACTGTTCTTTATGTGACAATCTTGACACTCTTCTTGAAAATCAATTGACTGAATAAGTGAGGGTTTATTTGTGAACTCCCAATTCTGTTCCATTGATCTGTTTATCAATGCTAACTTTCCGCCTTTACTCCTTTGCAACATTCTCATTCCTCTTCCAATCCCACGTGATGACTTTCATTTAAACCAAAGCACAAAGTGTGCAGGAAGTGACAGAGAGGTGCTGTTTTTGGATTTATAGCAAAGCATCCTTTATTTGAAATAATAAAGGTGTTTTATTGGAGTCTATGAAGACTTGAGAAATAATAAGTATTCTTTTTTTCCCCCTAGTGCTGGTGATCAAACACAAGGCCTTGTGCATGCTGGGCAAATGCACTACCAGCAAGTTATACCCCCGATCAAGAAGGATCCTTAAAAAAACATACTAATATTTTGGAAACAATTAAACATTTTCTTTGATGCTGTTATATTGAGTATTCCAAAACTGAAATCTTTACTTAAAAATGTCTATGATTCTTAAGTTTGCTTATGCATGACAGATGAAGCTCTAAACTAGGAACGGCTGATGGGCTTTGTGTGCCCTTTGTAGTTAAACACAATTTACAGATTGAAGAGATTCTGTACTGTCTACTTCTGGCAATTTACTGCAATGCAATGTGCACTGTGGGTACTGAATAAATGTATCTTAGAAGAATTAATCTCTCTGAGTATATATCTCTTAATTTTCTGTGCAAAATATATATCTAATATATATGCAATATAATTACCTCCCTTTGTATGAGCATTAGCTTCTTTATTTTTCCTTGTGTCCTTGTATACTAATTTGTCTTAGACATTATTATAAATTATTAACTTTTTGGTATTTGTTTCATACTAGGAAATGCCTCCTGAAGCATTCTACAGTATTCTCTGAGAAGAAGTGGGTTTCAGGGTTGGTTATGAAAAGGAATTGAGTCGAGTTGATTGAGAAATTAGTGACATTTCACAGGGGTCTGTGAAAGCAGCGGGCTTCTTTGACTCAGGTGGTATCTCCCGCAGTGGCCACATTTCCACCCAGAATGAGGAAGTGTATGTTTTCTGACTTCCTTTGCTCTTGAGAGACCTTCTTTGTCTGTAGTTATCCCAAAACTGATGGATCATTTCTTTGAATGGTCTTGTGGTCAGAGTATAAAGAATTGGGTTCAAAGCACTGTTGATAGGCAGAATAAAAATCACAACCCAAGAATTTATGGTATCTGGAAGAGAGAAATTAAATAGACTGAGTGTGTATATATGTTTACAAGGTGCAGAAACCCCCTTTCCAGTATCTTCTACCCTCAACCCCTTTTGAGTCTTATTTTTTTCCTTTGATGACACATGATTAATTATCTAGTGTACATTGTTTTCAGGTGTATTTCTTGAACACCAATATTTGATGGGGGTGCTGGTGACTCAAAGAAACAGTTTTACTTGCTAAGTAGCTTTTCCCAGGTAGATCAACAGAAGTACTCCAACAGGTAGGAAAATTTGCCACAAAGTCATGACATAGAAGTATGATTACATTTTAGGAAGCACTAGCCTTCAGTATTTAAATTATACCTTTTCAAATGTTTTAATTACTAGGTGGCACATACAGTATTCCTCAGAATATGTAGACTTCTCTTTAATAGATTCTTTTGATTATTTGGTTTAAAAAATAGATATGAATGTTTAGGCTTTTGACCAAATATTCATTCCAGTAAAAACATCTCTGGATAAACTCATTGTAAAAGTCATCTTAGCAGCTGGGGATGTAGCTCAGAGATAGATTGCTTGCACAGCATGCACAGGCTCTGTGTTTGATCCCTAGTTCTGGAAAAAATAAATCACCTTAGCATAAATGCAACTACCAAATACTCATTTTCTTAAAACTATTTTGTGGTACTGGGGATTGAACCTAGGGCCTTGCATATACTAGGCAAGTGCTCTGCCACTGACATACATGCGTAGTCCTCAGATGTTTATTATAATTTAATTGATGTTGTCTTTTTTTGGTTCATAAATACTATAAGATGAACAAAATTAAAATTTTTTGTGCATATCTCCATGCATATATGTAAAATTTCAATTTTATAATTTAGTATATAAAACACATTTAAAAAACATGAATATATATGGCATATATTACCATTAATAAGGCTTTTTAAATTATGGTTAAATATGCATAATGAAATTTACTATTTAAACCCTTTTAAATATACAGTTCAGTAGCATGAAAGATGTTCATATTGTTGTACAATAATCACCGCAATCCATTTCCAGAACTTTTTCAACTTCCCATGTGGAAACTACCCCTGTTCAGCAATGACTTTCCATTCCACACCCCCAAACCCTGGCAACAACCGTCCCAGGTTCTATGCATTTATTCACGTAAGAGGGATGATAAAGTATTTGTCCTTTTGTGTTTGGCTTATTTCATTTTCCATAAGGTCTTCAAGGTTCATCCATATTGTAGCCTGTGTCAGAATATCCTTCCTTTGTAATACTGCAGAATAATCTGTTGTGTATATATATTACATCTTGTTTATCCATTTATCTATGTATGGACACTGGTATTGCTTATTTTTTTGACTTTTGTGAATAATGCTACTATGAATGTAGACATACAAATATCTATTTGGGTCCCTGCTTTATATTATTTTGGGTATTTTTCCAGAAGTAGAATCTCTGGACTACATGATATATCTATGTTTAATTTTTGGTAGAATCACTACATACTGTTTTCCATCTCTGTCGCACCATTACGTTCCTGTCAACAACGCACAAGTGTTCCAATTTCTCCACATCCTTGCTAACACTTGTAATTTTCTATGTGTTTGAAAATAATAAGCACCCTAATGTGATATACATTGTTTTAAAATGATAACAGTGTTTTCTTCTATTATTCCTCACATTCTAGGATAATGTTCTCTAAATTACATATATTACAGGATAAAAAATTTCTTACATTCTGAAAAAAATGAGGTAATTATTTGATAACTGTTTTGATATTTCTGTTTTCCTTGTTGGGCATGTGATTGATCTCAACCCTGCATGTCATGGATATTGGTTATTGTCCCTTTGTTGCCCCCACAGTAATTTTATTGAAACTGGGGATTGAACTCAGGGGTGTTTAACCACTGGACCACACCTCCAGCCCATTTTTATTTTTTATTTTGAGACAGAGTCTTACTAAATTGCTTAGGGCCTTGCTAAATTGCTGAGGCTGGCTTTAAACTTGTGATGCTCCTGCCTTAGCCTCCTGAGCTGCTGTTCCAGGCTTTTCCCCCTAGTAATTGTATCATTAGACTTTTATGGAAAGAATGGAACAGCTTCCTCTCAGGAAACATTTTAGTGATGAGCGGAGTGTAAGTACATAAAACCTTCACTCATAATTCTTGAAACTAGTTAGTGTTAGGAATTTTAATTGCCTTTCTCAGAAGAACACTGCACAGATTTATTATTTCTTTACAGAAAGAAAAAAAAACTTTGTACCTGGTATTTCTATCTGAAGAAGTGAAAGAAATTTCAGTATAAAAATGGGTATCCAGCATAATGCATCAGTAAATACAATAAAGAAAAAACGCTTGGCAAGAATCATCTCTTTTTTAACTTGATTCCGTAATTCAGTTGCTGTTACAGTGCTTTGATGAACACTGTAAAACATTCTTCCATAGGAAAAAACTATAATTATAAATGCCACCAAGTTAATACCTGTTTAGAAAACAAAGAATAGTAATAATATATATGAACATTCTTTCAAAACAAGCAAATAAAACATGCCCTTAGGTGTTATTACTGAATATACAAAGGCCATGTTTTTTTTTTCCATACAGAATTATTAAGGTGCACCAAAACCTTGAGTTTCCTTTCTTGCAGCTCTGTGTATGAAACCCAGGATCAAGCACTCTGTTGATGAGCTACATCTCCAGTCCATCATGAATTTTTTTAAGTTGAAGTATTATTGAAATGATAAAGAATGATAAGATGTTTAATTTTAAAATGGCATATTAAGGTAAAATTCTGGTTATTCAATAAATATCCTGGGCCTTTAACTTTCTGTATTAGTCATTTTTTTCATAATTCAATTACATTGTACTACACTCCAGAATATTTTTATATTGCTAGTTTAGAACAGTTGTATGTATAATCTTAGGCCAAGATTGTGTGGCTACAATCCTGAATTTGAAAAGATAATAAATACCATTATGTTCATATTGTAAATATATGTGCCAGAGAGCTCAAACATTTTGCTTAGTGATATTAGGGTGAATACATGAAACTCTAGTGTTTAGTTCCTTTTACTGAATGCATCAGATTGAGAGTTATATGATAAAAAAGCGATTCGGAGGAAAAAAAGAATACCTATTGGGGATTCTGATAGAATTTAAATCCTCACTAAGAAAAACAAATGAGAGGATTTGAAATAAAAATTTGGAAACATTAGAAGGCACAATGAATTTCTTATTGTGAATTATCTCAAAATTTAATAAAGGGGCATATAAAATAAAGTTTCTTACCAAGAAAAATTGTCACTGAATAAATCTGGGCTCCAATATTTTCAGTGTCTTCTGAATGGAGAGGGAAACATACTCCATTGGTGCCATAGTAGTTTTTGAAAAAATCCTTATTGCTTAGTGGAATGAGAGCCACTATGAACCCAGTCATCCAAATGAGAATCAGAACTGTAACTGTTCTGCATTTTCGAGGTCCTAAACATCTAAAAGGATACACAATGCAGATGTACTTTTCCAATGTCAGAAATGTTAAGAGTAAAACGGATACTTCTGTGGACAGAATGGCCAGAGATCCGGTAAGCTGACAGTGAATACTTTCTCTCCACAGCTGAGCATGCTTATTGTATTCTCCTCGAAACTTGAGATCAAACGCTCCGATCACAAATAAATAGATTCCCATTAGGCAGTCAGCACCTAGAGGGATCAGAAAGTTTCATACATTTAGAGAAATAATAGGCATAATGAATTCATCAAGAAGCAAGAATTTTTTGTGTGTAACGTTGGAGTGGAACCCAAGGCCTGAGTCACAAACCCATCCCAGTAATAATATTTTTAATATTGGAAAAAATAAACCATTTTTTTTCTGTCTTAGGAGGAGGCAATTTTCCTCTCCTAATATTTCACCAGATGGGGGTGTAGCTCAGTGGCAGAGTGCATGCTTAGCATGAGGGAGGCCCTGGGTTCATTTCCAGCCCCACCAAAACCAAAATTCATTTACTGATGAGGACCAATTCATCAACTGCCTTTGGTAACCACTCTTAGAACCATCTACTGTTAATTATCAAAGCATTTCTCCATTTTCCTTTAAAACACAAATCAATAACAGCAAGAACTTGTCTATTTTGTTCTGCATTATAGACCCATCACCTGAAAGTGTAGAACAAATGAATAAAGTCCAATTTTGTTGAATGTTCAGTCTGGGACTGGGGTAGGGACGGCATTCTTTGTTTTAGCTTTTCCATTGAAATTCTCCTTGCTCAACAAGCTGAGGATATTATCCAAAAACCCAAAGAAAGTAATTCAGGAGTTTCTGGGATGGAGTAATGACTATGAATTTTGAAGTCTATCAATTTAGAAGATACAAATAATTACAAAGGGTTTCACAGTCGGTCCAATTTAGGAGGCTTAAATTACTTACTAGAGCTGTCCTAAGCAAAACTGTCCTCTCTTCCCATTTTACAACCTTCTTTGTCAACTTTTAGGTTCTCTCATTCCCTAAATCAGCTCTCAGTGTGTATACTACTTGACATTTTTGCTTTTTAAGCAAATAGAAAGTGCTTGAAATATTTTGACTGTGCAAACATTCTGCACTAAGTCCCTAAAATCACATCATTATATAAATCACAAGGCTAGCCCTAATTCTTTAACGCTGAAGTTAGACTGTAGCCTTCATTAGGAAAATTGAACTTAACTCAAACTTTTGTAAAAGAGTACAAGGTGGTAAACATTTGGACTTCTGCTTCTTACATAGTTTGCAAGGAAAAAAGCAATTAGCCATTAGACTTTGAGTAAGCTTGGGGGTAGTTCATGTGATAGAACACATAAAACAATGAACATCTTGACATTTTACTTGCTTAAGGGATCCTAAATAGGTTCTATACTATGTGACCCAAACTATAAACATCCTGAGGGCAGGTTTCTTGCTTGTTTTTCTTTGTAATCCTCATTAACAAAATATCTTGTAATCATATTTCAAAAACATTTAAAAAGTTAGTACTTATCTGAAAGCATTTTTATTTACATATTTCAAGTTATAAATGGAAAAGCTTCTAGTAGCTCAGAGACCAGAAAAAGAACTAGCTGCTAAGTCACTGTCTACGAACTAGACATGCAAACAAAAATGTAAGCATCACTGTGGGTGTAAAAATGTGACCATAGAAGGCTACAATTTCACTTGTAGTAAAAGATTTTAAATGCTTTAACAAAATATCCCTTCAGAATCACTATATGAGAGAAAACTAGTGAATGAAAGCTTCATTAATCTATGTAAGGTGACTGAATATTTTTACTTTAAAACCTAAAGCTTTCTTATCACTAAAGTAATTCTATTTTTATTGTAGAAAATGTGAAAATGACACATAAACAATAAGAAGAAAAATTAAAATTCCACAATTATATCAATGCTTTTGTTTATTTCAAAACTATAATTTCTCTTTAACCAGGATATACTCACAGCACAGAGAAATGATTGATATGGCATGCAGCTTGTTCTCAGATCTGATATAAGGTCGCATACAAATGACAAAAATATTTCCAAAGCAAGTAACCACAGATACAACCCAGACAAACACTCTCTGAATGATGCTTGCCAAAAGATTCTCAAGGGATGAGATTCCATCAGTGTTTGGTTTACAGCTTCGAACATGTGGTGCATATCCACAATATTGGAATTTCTTAAAATATCTGGTATACAAAGGCAAGACAAAATAAGATTTTAGATTTAATTCAGTGTCACCATACACTAATATTTATTTTCAGCATTTTCTCAGTAGATGGAAGATATCTTAATATGAGATTCAGAGGAACGCAAAGCACTAGAGATCCTGAAGTTTTAAATTTAATTCTCTTAAACTTGATTTCACTGTCAAAGAATATGTGAGTGAGAGTAGCAAAGAAGCATGATGAATATACAAGTGTTAAACATGTCTTAGAATATAAATGAAGTGTTAGCTTGTGAGCAAACTAATTTAGCCAAATAAACTATCAGCATTCATTCTATAAATGCACTGTTTGACAGCTCCATTGCTTACTCCATTGCATTGATCTTGCTTTTTAGCCCACAGGCGAAAAAATTAAGCACTTTCTCTTTTGTGCACCTGTGTCCTTCCTTCCTTTCTTCTTTCTGTACTGTGCACTGAACTCAGGTACACTTCTCCACTGAGCTATATACCCAGCTCTATTTATTTTTTATTTCAAGACAGAGTCTCACTAAGTTGCTTAGGGTCTAAGTTGCTGGCCTCAAACCTGGAATCCTCCTTATTCAGCCTCCCAAGCCACTGGATCACAGGTTTGCTCCAGGCTTCCATGACTTTTCTGTTGTAGAAGTTATTATGGTATCTGTAATTACCTGGTGACATGCTTATCTTTCACACTGGAACAAAATTAAGGGTTCAATGACTATTTGTTGAGTAAATGCTTCTTGATAAAGACATCACCTGGGGCTGGGGTTGTGGCTCAGTGGTAGAGAGCTTGCCTAGCATGTGTGAGGCACTGGGTTCAATCCTGAGCACCACATATAAATAAATAAAATAAAGGTCCACTGACAACTAAAAAAAGAAATTGAAAAAAAGGACATCACCTGGATAATTAATAAGTATTACTGTGTTGCTAACAACTCCAACACCATTTATTGAGCATTTTTTAGGCAACAGGAATGCATTCTCAAACAAACTCCACATATAGGTGTCGGTATTCCCATGAAAGGAGATGAATCTTCAACAGAGGCAAATTATTTCCTAAGAAATTTTCTAGTAATTGTCGAAATTGGAATTCAAATTAGATCTATTTGGCTCTAAAGCCATGTGTGCTGGCACAACATAGAAAGTATCTTTACACTTTAAATCTATTAATATGTTCAATGAATTTGCCAGCTATATACTGAACATTTGCATCCCCCTCACTCCAACAAAATTCATGTGTTGCTCTCCTAACCCCAATGCTTTTTGCATTCTAAATACACTTTCAAGAGCCATAGTAATGAAAGACAAAAACTTGATGATTACCGTTTATGCCATCTCACTCAAGTTTGATTGCTGATAGTTCCATCCTGTGAATTTTTCTCTGTGCACTTTGATGGCGATGAGAGCAGAATGGGAGGGAAGAAGGAGTGTTGACTGCCCTTTTCCTTTGCTTTATGTATTTTAGGCCTAAGTTTTGTTTTTAATCAATAACATTATTGTAGATCTTTGTTTTCTAGTTTGGGAGCTTAGCCTGAAGTCACCCATCTAGTAATAGTATCTGATTTCCTCTGAGGGAATTACTTCTTCTCCCTATGAGAAGTCATATGGAAACTTCAATGAGGCATTCCTTTATCCCCAAGCAAGATCAATTAGACTCTTTCTCCTGGAAATCTGAGTCGCACTGACAATATTTAGACAGATCCAGCAGTGCCTGGAGGAGACTGCTGTTTAACTCTTCTGCCTTTGGTTGCTACCCAATTCAAGCTTGCTTTTTTAGTTACTTCTTAGCTTTCATGAGCTATACTATTTTTTCCCTAATAAACTGTTTTGGTTAATTTAACAGACTGTTTTGCATGCAATCAATACAGAGCACTCTCTGAAGAATCATGGAAAACAAAAACAGTACCCTGTGTAGACTTAAAGTCTAAGCAAGATTACAGAGTTGGTAGTGACTGATAAGACACTTCTTACTGAAAATTAATTATCATGGTATGGAGATTATTTTAATGCTTTCGACAAGGTGGAAATCAATTAAACATATTTTTAAAGCATATAATCAAAGGTACAACCAGACACACCATTTGAATAAAAATTTTCAAGGTTTCCATTTCATGTATGCTTGCTCTGATCATGCTTGGACATCGGGGACCCTTTTCAATGAGAAGTCCTCCTTTCCTTCTTTCTTTTACAGCAATTATTTATTTATGATTATTTTATATTGTTATATATGTATATGTATACACACATATATATTTCTACTTCTTCTGATACCATGTGTACAAATTCTTAGCTCACTAGGCAAATGTCAACATCTCTGACTATATTATCAGAGCTGAGAGCTTCTTACAAGAATGAGTAGGTTCCTCCTATACTCATGTTCTCTGATGCTCACAAAGTCTTCTATGAAATTCTTTATGACTGTGGAAAACTAAAAATCATCCACCCAATGTCAATGTTTTTAGAGTTAATTATTGTTTATATATATGTGAGTCTGTTTAGGCTGCTGTAACAAAAACGCTACATACTGAGTGGCTTAAACAATAATTTCTCATAGTTCTGGAGGCTGGGAAGTTCAAGATCAAGGTGCCAGCAGTTTCTGTGTCTAGTGAGGTTCTGCTCCCTGGTTCATAGATGGCTGTCTTCTTGCTATGTTTCACATCATGGAAGGGGCAAGGGAGGTCTCTGGAGTGCCCTTTTTAGGAGCACAAATCTTATTCATGAAGGCTTTGCTGTAATAACCTAGGGATGGATATATATATATATATATATTGGCGGGGGGCAGTGCTGGGGATTGAACGCAAGGCAAACACTCTACCAACTGAGCTATATCCCCAGCCCCTGCCTTAATAACCTAATCACCTCCCAAAGGCTTACCTCTTAATACTGTCACATTGGGGTTAGGATAGCAACACATGAATTTTGTTGGAGTGAATGGGATGCAAATGTTCAGTATATAGCTGGCAAATTAACTAACATATTAATAGATTTAATGCATTGGGTACAGATGTATTATCACAATACATGTGTGAACTTAAAGAGTTAAATAAAGTTGAAGAGCAAGAATATCAACTTACATGTGAGAAAGATTAAGAGGTCTAAACATCCTTTGTTGGATATTTGAAATTTCAATTCCTTCTAGGCTGCTAAAAATACCAAATTAATAGTCAATCAAAAAACATATGTTAAACATGACATAATAAATAATTTTTTTGAAGGACAACTTAATAAAATGTTTTAGTAAACACAATATAAATGAAATATTCATAATCAGCTTATCCTAGTCACCTCCCCAGCTCCTCCTTTTGATTGTGTTATGCATAAACATATATTTCCCCTATTTGAGTGTTTTGGATCCTCACAAGTCATGGCACAATGCTTTTTGCATTCTAAATACTCAATAAATACTTGTAGAATAAGTGAACAAGCACTACTTTCTGGAAAACATTGCCATAGACTTTAGCATCTGAAAATTTTCTAATAATTTTTGGTAACAATTTTTTTCTAAAAAAATATTTCACTGAGAGAACACAAATTAAATGAACTAAAGTTGATATTTTTAAGGCAATTCTTAGATGTTAACAGAATTTTGTCTTTTTGTGTGTGTGTTTGGTGCAAGTTATGATTTACATGATATAGAATATTCCCTCCTAGAGTAAGAATGCCTTTAATAAATTCTTAAACACCCAGAACTAAAAGAGCAATATGCACAGATACCTTCATAAAGTCAAAGCAAACAATTTAAGTTCTTAGTGACTTACAGAAAAATATAAAAATGAGTTATCATTACTTATTTTTTTTTTCAGTACTAGGGATTGAACCCAGGGTCTAGCATATACTAGGCAAGTGCTCTACCATTGAGCTACATCCCCAGCCCCTTATTATTTAGTTTTTACTTTAATTAACATGTAATACAAAAGTAATACCTGTCTGCTTGTTCCCATCAAACACTCATCTTTATATTTTTATAGAGATTTACTAAAATCCCAGAAATAAAGCTCATAAGAAAGTTTCTAAAACATATACGTTGTTAGTACTGAAATAATGATTTTATCATAAAACTATCCCCTATGTGTGTACTTACAGAGACTTGAGTTTGACTAGATAATCAAATTGATCTGCTTGAATTTCCTGGATCGGGTTGTAGGAAATATTCCTGTTTTTTAAAAAAGGCAACATTCTAAAAATGGCTGAGTAAAGAAAGTATATCTATTGACCTCAAATTACTAAATATTCACCAAGAAAATAAAAAGTATAGCACCACTCAGAATGAATAAAAGGCTTAAATGTAACACCTGAAACTGTAAAACTACTAGAAGAAAACATAGTGAGAAGCTCCATGACGTTGGTCTGGGCAATGGCTTTTTGGATATGATCCCCAAAACATAGGCAATAAAAACAAACATAGACAAAATGAGACCAATTTAAACCAAAAAGCTTCTGCACAATTAAGATAAAAACTCATCAGAGTGAAGAGACAATCAGTAGAACAGGAGAAGATATTTGCAAATATGGGGAGAGGTTAATATTCAAAATGTATAAGGTACTCAAACAACTCAACAGCAAGAAAACAAATAATTGAATTAAAAACAGACAAAGGGCCTGAACAGACACACAATTGGCCAACAGATACATAAAAACACTTAACATCACTAATCATCCGAGAAATGCAAATTAAAACCACAATGAGATCTATAACCTCACATTATAGCTCATTGTGTCTTTAAAAAATGGTAAAATTAGGGCTGATGAGGATATGGAGAAAAGGGAATCTTTTTACACTGTTGGTGGGAATGTAAATTAGCATGATCATATGGTAATTAGTATGGAGATGCCTCAAAAAATTAAAAATAGAACTATCATATGATCCTAGCTATATATCCTAAGGAAATGAAGTACCTATGTTGAAGAGGCACTCCCACGTTCATTACAGCATTATTGACAATAGCCAAGGTACAGAATCAACCTACATGTCCATCAACAGATGACGGATGTTTGGTATGCTCTAGCCAATTCCATAAACCAAAGGCTGAATGAATGTTCTCTCGCATAAGTGGATGCTGATTCATAATGGTGGGGGTATGGAAAGAATGGAGGAAATTTGATTGGGCAAAGGGGAGGGACAGGGCATGGGGGCAGGAAAGATGGTGAAAATGAGATGGACACCATTACTGTAGGTACATGTTTGACTGCACATATGGTGTGACTCTACATGGTGTACAACCAGGGAAATGAAAAGTTGTGCTCCATTTGAGTACAATGAATTGAAATGCATTCTGCTGTCATATATACCTAATTAGAATAAATTTTTTAAAAAAGAAAATAGTTTGATGTACATACACAATTAAATTCCTTAAGAAAGAAGGAAATCCTAGCATTTGGAACAATGTGGATGAACCTGGAGAACGTGACTCTGAGTGAAAAAAAGTCAGGTACATGATCTCACTTATCTAAAAAAGTTGAACTCACAGAAGTAGAAAGTAGAATATTGGTTTTCCCAGGGGCTGCAAGCAGGAGCAGGCAGGGGGAGGGAGGGATTGGGAAGGTATTTGCCAAAGGGTACAGAGTTTCAGTTAGAAAGAACAAGCGCAAAAGATCTGTTGCACAACATGGTGATGATAGTAATGATGTATTGTGTTCTAAAAATTGCTGAATGTTTTTGAATGCTATCATTAAAAGTGCTAAAGATTTTGAATGTTATCTCCACACACACTCACAAGGTGATAAGTACCCAAGGTAATACATATGTTAATGAACTGAATTTAGCTGTTCCACAATGTACACATATTTCAAAACATCATGTAGTACATGATAAATATGCACAATTTTTATATATCAGTTAAAAATGTGTAGGAAGTACACTTGCCTCATATAGTTGGTTGTACATTTAAGTGAATGGATGGAGATAAACACTTAGAACAATGCCTGGCTGATAATAAGTACTTCATGGCAAGAGCTAATACAACTGGGGAAGAGGTGGAGCTGTCAAGAGGGCCTGGCCAGAGAAGTGATGGGCCACCCAGAGAGAGCCATACCTACTTCATATTTTGCCTAGGATTCGATGTGGTTTATATAAAACAAAAAGTATTTCATTTAATCAAAATTTGAATTAAAAGAATCACATTGTGTATCTTTTACAATAAATTTTATGTCAAAGAGTGACATTCTGTATTTGCAGTTTGTGAAGCATAAAATGAAAACGAGGCTTTTCATTTCATGTAGCTACTATTAGGCTATATCTAGGGACAAAGAGAGGTAAGAGTGAAAGTATAGCTGAGTCCATAGGGAGGACATATCAGAATCTGTTTTCCCCCCCAGCTGCACTCCCACTCACCATCAAGATTCTTTGTAAAATACCCATAGCGCAAGAGTTAACAACTAGAATCAACAAATGGGACTTACTCAAACTAAAAAGTTTTTTCTCAGCAAAAGAAACAATAAGAGAGATAAATAGGGAGCCTACATCCTGGGAACAAATCTTTAA